TCCTAAGGTTAGAGCTTAATATATTTTATTATCCATACAGTTTTTTCAGGTACTTACATGTCATTGTGAGGCTTTCTTTCTGGATGAGATTTATGTTGATGTCATCAGAAAGTGTACTTCCTCTGGACACATTCATAGTTTATGATGTATACATGTGTCAAGAGTTGTGGGGTCACAACTAGCATTAAACATTGAGACAGTATGTGGTTTTAAGAGCATTGGTAGTTCTTTTAAAGTACTAAGGAGGTCCATGATAGCATTTTTCTCTTCTCATTTGAAACCATCTTTCCTGTAGGGAAAACACGGAAGGGACACTTCTTCTGCAAAACTGAAGGCACAGAGTCAAAACATTTTCTTCCAGAGCTTCGAATTCAAGACCATTTGCTGAGCAGCCCTTCATGACTATTGCAGTCCCTGGGGGCAATGTAGGAAGCCCTTTGAAACATCTTTGGCTGGCACTAGGTGCTTCACAGGGCTGGATGTAGGTTGGAACAGAGGTCACGCTCAGGTTTGGAGTGGGGTGATGGCAGGGGAACTGCCTAACAATGGCTCTAGGAATCAGGAACACGGCAGAGTGGAGGGCAGGCTGAAGAAGGCTAATCTCATGTGGGCAGCTGCTGGGAAGGTTGTCTCCAAATTGACAGCACCTATCAGTGGAGACCCTGTAGCATCCTTGGAGACAAGGCTCCCAGCAAGACATGGGGATAGTGGGTCAGGTAGATTTTTATTGCAAAGGGAGATTTTGTTCAACAAAGTCGTCCTCGGTTGGTCTCTTATGCCCACTTGTGTCAGGGAACATGGCTACGGTCCATTAGAACATCAGAATGTTTTCTTACTGTTTGTATAATAATGTACAGATAACTCACGAGCTTGCTATTTATCAGCCATGGGATGGGCTCTCCTGCAGTTTTATTTGTGTTGCTCTGTTTCAAACTATTGTCACTCCCTTGCTGATGCTGGTGATTCTGAGGAGATGCAATGATGCCATTTTTTTTTTTTTTTGAGTGCCGGAAGCAGCTGGAGACAGGAATCTATTGCTTCTGTCAGATAAAGAACTGTTGCTGGGGCAACAAGACCCTTCATTCTTCCTCAGGCCTTGCAATCTCTCTCTAGTACCCCATATTGGTGGAACCCAGTAGTAAACCAGCCAAAGGAGAAACAGGGTCATCACAGAGTATCACAGGTTGGACTTGGAGGTTGATAATTAGCACATATGGTCTGGTGGACGGCATCTGGTTTACTTAGTACAGTGTTCCTGTACACCCCACACTCAGTTTCCCTCAATAATAGGATCTTACAATACCATTGTGCATTTGTCAAAAACTAAGATGCCAACATTGGTATATTGCTATTAATTAAATGTCATACTTTATTCAGATATCACTAGTTTTTTTCACTAATGTCTCTTTCTGTTTCAGGACCCTCTCTGAGGCACCAATTACAGTAGTTAGTCCTCTCTGGTCTGTGACAAGGTTGGAGCTTAATATATTTTATTAGTTTTTCAGTCTTTCCTTGTTTTTCATCACCTGGGTAGATTTATGGAATACTTGGGTGTTTTTTAGGATACATACTATTTTTAATCTTACTTAACAGTTGAGGAATCTGAGGCATAGACAAGTTAAAAGACATAACCAAGGACCCATAACTAGTAAGTGATAGGTATGACAGCCTAGTTTTGGAGACCACTCTCTTGACCATTATATAGGGGGCATTGCTCTGACTAGAATGTACATTGCATGTTTCTCCAAAGTTAGTAGCCAGGAAGATTTGTGAAGATGACTATATCAGGTTATTGTGGGCTTTAGAAACGCACTGAAGAACTTAGCTTTGATTCAGTGAAAACAGACATCTTGAGTCATCCTGGAGTTTTGAACAACTCAGTTTAAACAATATCAGGGAAAGGAGCCTCGTCTCACAGGAACATTGTTCGGGAGGAGGAAGGGGCAGAGAATACTGGACTCAAGGACAACTCGAAGACTGTGGTTGTCATCAGGGGAGTGGTGGTTAGGGTCTAGGTTAGGCTAGAGTCAGTGAAGGTGGAAGGAAGGATGTCAGGAATAGTTTGAAAGAAAAATGAAATGACTGGTTGTATATTCTGTTACCAAGGGTAAATAATTATTAGCTTTAAGGTTTGTTTGTTTTTACATTGAACTAGGTAATTAAAACTTATCAGAAAATTGAAAATGTGTCTGAGTTGCTGAAGTAACCTTCAATGTAAGGTTAAAGACTTAGCCTGTACTGATATTGCTAATCAGTATTTAAAGTCTGGCTTAAAAAATATGATTTGCTTTCACCTTAGAAATGAAAACAGTTTTTTCTAGACTCATTATACACACCAGTTTTGTCTTAAGGCACCAGAGAAAGATGAGTTGTACAACCAAAGACACCCTTCACAGGGATAGTAGTGAATGTTGCCAAGGGGAATATACATTCTCCTGAGCAAAGAGAGCCACGTGTAATCATATTTCTGTCTGCAGAAGAGGCAGATACTTTGGTGAAGTGGCAAGAGAAGGTTCTTCGGATTCAGGCGGTTTTAAGTTTAATCCCATCTCTGTCACAGTTTGTACAACATTGGCAAGTACCTTTCTCAGCCTCCGTTTCCTGACCTGCAAAGTGGGGAGAATAATGGTAGGCACCTCTTAGTGTTTTTGTTAAAAATAGATGACATATGCACATAAAGCACTTATTTGAGTGCCCAGTACACCAAATGTTAGCTATGTCGAATGAAAGCAGTACAATTAATAAGGTGGGATGGGGTTGGTTAATGGTGTGGGGTACTTGTTACTTAAAATGCTCTGGATAATCTAGAACCATAGAATGTTAAAACTAAAGTGACTGTAGAGAGAATCTGGTCAACCAACCCATTTTACTGGTTTAAGACTTGAGACCCAAAGAGTTCAAGTGACTTGCTCAGAGTCATAGAGACAGCTGAGGCAGAGCCAAGACTAGTTCACCCTTCTCCTGGTTTGCAGGTGGGCTCTTTAACCTTGAATGCCTGAAGGTCCACAATGGCAGTCTCAGGACACTTAGAGTTATTTTCAGTATTAAAAATAAAGCCTAAGTATTTATCCCTTACAAAGATATATAACATCAAACTTCTTTGCTTTTGACTGAAAAAAAAAAAAAAAAGGTAACTTGGCACAGTAATAATAGTTCTATTAATCCTAAAACTCTCACTGATACTTATAAATGTATTTATGAACAAAAATGAAAAAGATGATTAAATTAATATTTTAAAAGCCATTTGGGAAAAGAAAACATTTTTTAAGAAATAAAAGGATGGCCCTCGCTGGTTTGGCTCAGTGGATAGAGCATTGGCCTGTGGATCAAAGGGTCCAGGGTTTGATTCTGGTCAAGGGCATGTACCATAGTGGCAGGCTCCTCTTCTACTCGGGCCCTAGTCAGGGCTCATGCAGGAGGCAACCAATTGATGTGTTTCTCTCACATGGATGTTTCTTTCTGTCTTTCTCTCTCTTTCCACTCTCTGGAAATAAAAATAAAAATATCAATGGAAAAATATTCTCGGGTGAGGATTAACAAAAAAAAAAAAAAAAAAAAAAAGAAAGAAAGAAAGAAAGAAATAAAATAAGTAAATAACAAAATAAATAAATAAATAAATAAATAAATAAATAAATAAATAGATATCTTTTGGTGATAAGACTGGGAACCAGTGTGTGGCAGTAATGGTGGAGCCTCTTCCTGTGTCTGGTTTGCTGCTGTGGACGCTTTGGGTCATTTGACCCTCACAATATCCCTAGGACATAAGCAGAGAAGAGAGTGTTATTTCTGCTGCAATAACAAGGAAGCAGAGGCTGATAGAGAAGCGAATGTCTCAAGGTCCCAAGGCAAATCCAAGAAAAATATACAACTAGACTGCATTCTGTATACTTCCTGCACAAGCCTTCCTGCTCTTTGATTTTTTCCAGGACAACAAGGAGATGAATTACTGTTCATTGTAAAAGTTTGTTGTAGGAGGAAATGAATGTTTTCACTCCCATGACTGTGTGGCTATTTCTGATGTATAGAGAATATTGCACTAGTCTGATGTTTTTAGTATTATTGTCATTTGGACTAGTAAGTTTATAAATATAGTTATGACTAATGGAAGCCAAGCCTAATTTCAGGAAATAAGGAATATTCTATAAATGCTAATATTCATAGAAGACAACAAATATAAGGAAATGAATATATATATCTACGTTTGTATATATAATATGTATATATATGGGATATATATATACACATATACACATACACACACACACATATATATATATATATATATATATATATATATATATATATATCTCCCAAAATTGCATAGCATTTTGAACTTGGAATTTCAGTGATGACTCTGACTAAAGGAATTAAAATTATGTCTACATATTAGCAAAGTGAATTGTTTGTTTAGTTAGTTAAGGAAGAAAGAAAAATCGCTTTTAGGGGTTATAGAAATTAAAATAAAATATTTAAAAAACATAATCTCTAGACTCTAGCATAGTGCTTGATGCAAAGGTTATCTTAAAAAGTACTTATTGTATAAGAAGATTCTACAGAAGTTTTTACTTTTTAACCTACCACAAAGAGCCAATATCTAATTTTCAATGATTCCATCCTGAAAGCTCTCATTCTACTGGGAGGCGGGAATCTTGGGTAGTAGGATGTCCTGCTGTTCAGGGTTAGGTAGGCATTCTACTTCCTCTGAGAGGGAACGTGGAATCAATAACCACAAGGCCACATTTGCTAAGCCAGAATGAAGTTTATTAATGAGTAGTGAAGATGGTTATTTCTCAAAGAGCAGTTAAGTAGCCTAAAAGACAGAACAAAGGCCGCCAAGTCTCCCCAGAGGAGAAAAGAACCAAGAAGTTGGACTAATTCACAAACACACGGCCCAGGGAACAGTATGGAGTTGGCCCGCCATAGGTAGCGGCGTGCTGAAGGCTGGGTGATGTGTGGGACACTGAGCAGCACATCCCGGAACCTGTCAAAGCCCTGGCGGCCTAACAGCAGGGCTCGCAGGGGCTTTCACAGCAGGGCTGGACGCATGTCGTCACGTTGATCCCGTACAGGCCGGGAGTCGGGTGGCAGGAGTTGAGCAGCCAGCAAGTTGGCACGTAGGTGTCGGGCTCGCAGCAGGGTGGGGGGCAGGTGTCACAGCAGGTGGGCTGGAGGAGGCTGATGTCATGCGGGCAGGTGCTGGGCAGGCAGACTCCGCAGCGGCAGCACTTGTCAGAGGAGCAGATGGTGGTGGCGGGGCCGGTGGGGACGCTGCAGCAGCAGGGAGCACAGCAGGCCATGGCGTGAAGATGGGGGTTTTTGTTGGATTGAGGAGAGAAGTCTCTTAGTGTCTGGGTGCTTCTTTCTTCTGCTCTGGCGCTTATATACCCACCTCCCTGGGCGTCGCCCTATTAGCAAGGTTTTCTTCCCCATGTTTCACCTTCTAGCTATTTCCATAAAAACCGTCTAATTACTTAAGTGTTTATTTGTCATGGCACCAGCATGTCCTTTCAGTGTTCAAAGGCACCAAGTGATGGTCTCCTAATCATTGCATATCTGTTAATGACGGCCTGGCATGCTCACCCCCAGGTCTTTTGTCTTCTTTCACATGAAGAGAGAAGCAGGCTTTTTGATTGCTTTTCTACCAGCAACTATGTGATACTTTTCGCTTTGTGGCTTAAAACTGATTAGCCTTTATTTATTTGTAGATTTATCCATTTTTGTATTTTAGTTTTCATAGATCAGCTTTATAGGTTAGTGTTCAGTGGAACACTCTTGGGAGATTCCCAAATTACATCTAAACCTCTACAACCTTAATAATAAAATGATTGTTATTTTAGCCTGTTTGGCTCATTGGATAGAGCGGCGGTGTGTGAACCAAAGGGTTCCTGGATTTGATTTCAGTCAAGGGCACGTGCCATGATTGCAGACTCCTCCCCATCCCAGACCCTGGTCCTGGCTCCTTTAGGAGGCAACCAATCAATGTATTTCTCTCACATCGATGCTTCTCCGCTTTCCCCCCCTCTCTTCCACTCTCTCTAAAAATCAATGGAAAAATATTCTCATGTGAGGATTAACAAATAAATAAATTCAATTACTTAATTTTAAAGACATAAAACAGTATGATGCTTTAGAATTACTTTAAAGTAGGAAAAATAGTAATTGGTAAAATTTTAGGTGTGTGTTAATTTGAAAGTGTTAAAAATGTATATCTTTTCTGACCCATCTTCAGATGAAATGGTCCAGGCTTTGAAAAATAATTTAAAATTCCTTAATATAGAGGAGCCGGAAATCAAAGGTCATGCAAATCAACAAGATGCTGGATGCAAAGGATGTTTAACCTGAAAACTGCTTTCATTTTAGTCATTTTCTTACTAGAATAATTTCTGCTGGAAATTAGCTTTTTCTTCAATAGGTATCTCTTTGTTCAACCGGACACTTGTTGGTTCGGTACCTGCTGTAAGTCAGACAGCATGCAAAAAGGAAGCAAATAGGTTTTTGTCTTTGAGGAAGTCACAGAGAAGAAAACACAGAGGAGTGAGCTGCCAATGACAGCACAGGGTTGTGCATTCAGGTTTTCTGGGTAAGGAGTGGGAATTTAGAGCTGGGGTCACTGCCTGAGAGATTTGGGGAGAACTTCATGAAAAGAAAACATGTGTGTGGGTGCTGAAGCCAGTAAAACTGCTCTGGTATATTCCTGGGATGGTGGAAGTATTGGCTGGCGAAGGCACAGATTCTGGGTCTCCGTTTGGGAGGTGTCGGAGGAGAATGGTGAGAGACAGCATTGGAAAGGTGGGTTAGTGCCATGGTGGGAAGAAGTTCGACTGTGTAGCATCCCACACTCATGACCTTGAAATACATCCTACTGCCAGTGAGCATTCCTGGAAGGGTTTTGAATGTGTATGGGACATGATTGGATTTGTATTTTAGAAAGATGATTAGTTTTTCAATGGAGGCCCATCATCATCATTGTCATCATTATCATCACTTACTAAGCATTAGGTCTTGTGCTGAGTGCTTTATATATATTACACATTTCTTACCACAGCCTTATGGTATACACAGTGTTACTGCCTTTGCCATTTCACAGGCGAGGAACCCAGGCACAGAGAGGCTAAGTAAGGAGTGAGTGAGGGATGGAGCTGGCATTTGAAGCAAAGCTGATTCCATGCTCTTAGCCCCTGTGTGTCTTCCCTCTCATGCTGGGGCAGAGTTCTGACTAGAGTGAGGATGAGCCTCAAGATTAGTTGTGTGTAAGATTGCTGAGAGGGGTGGACTGGCTTATTGAAGTCTTGAGACCATAGGAGGAGTTGATTTTAGAGCCTGTTTTCTTAACCTAAGTACCTTTCTGTAGAATGGAGATAATTTGAAGGCAGGGCAGTGTTTGGGAAGCTGTGTGGGTATTCCATGGGAGTGATGAGGAGGGAATGGTTTCTTTCTTAGAGATCCTGATTGGGTGGGAAGAGAGCAGAGGGGCATATCTGGGATTCCTCATCACATCATTCAGTTTTCTGGTGACTGCTATCTGGATGGCATATAAGTTTCCACAAAAAATTATTATTCTTGTTTTTAATATAACTCCTGATCTTATCCTCCACTAATAGCTAGCACGTATTGAATGTATACCATGCACCAGGCATAGTGCTAAGTATTTTATGCACACCTTTTTTTCCCTTACAACCTTATAAGATAAAGAATATTCTTATCCCCACGTCCTAGATAGTGAAACTGAGAGTAATGGCATTAAATAATGATTTAAAATTACACAGTTAGTGAACGATGGCTCATCTAACAATAGTACCTCATACTTACTAATAAAACTCAGTATTTTTGTGGAATTGTTTTATATAATTGTAAATTGTGTTCATTCTCCTCCTCCCTCCATTTATTAATTCATTAAGCAAAATGCCTAGCAACATGCTTGGTGCTAAGCATCCTATATAAAAAAGAGCTAATATGCAAAGGGTCATCATGCCCTCACACCATAATGGCTCAGGCACTCAATACTGGGGACATAGGACTGGGGACCAGCCAGGCTGCTGCCCTGGAGAGGGACAAGCCGCCCGCCCCATGGTCCTGGGCACCAGCGCCTGCAACTGTGGCCCAGGGAAGCTACCTGCCCATGCTCCTCTGTGGCTACGGCTGGCCCTGGTCCTGGGTGCCTGTGGCTGGCTGGAGGAGGGAATCCTGGGTCCCAGGTGCCTGCGACCGGCCAGAGGAGGGAATCTTGCGTCCCAAGTGCGGGGCAAGGCAGAGGCAGTTAGAGATGATCAGGCCAGCAGGGAAGCAGTTAGGAACGATCAGGCAGGCAGGCAGAGGTGGTTAGGGGTGGTCAGGCAGGCAGAGGTGGGTAGGGGAAATCGGGCAGGCAGGCAGGCAAGCGGTTAGGAGCCAGTGGTCCTGGATTGTGAGAGACAGTCAGACATTCCCCGTGAGATCCCGGATTGGAGAGGGTGCACGCCGGGCTGAGGGACCCTCCTCCCTCCCAGCCTGTGCGTGAATTCCATGCACTGGGCCTCTAGTATAGAAATAAATAGGTCAGTTAAGGTCCTTGTTGTCAAGGTGATCATTCTAGTGGTTGAGACAAAAAAAAAAAAATTAAACGAATGAATAAGAACTCAGACAGTGACAAGTACCAAAAGAGTAAAGTGACCGGCAGTGCCCCTCAGGGAGCATGTCCGCTTCGGCTCGGGTGGTCAAGGACAGTCTTTGCCAGGTGGTTGGAACATGTGAAAGGGGAGGAGTGCGATAGGAGGATGAGGTCAAGGAGGTGGGCAGGTGATAGGACAGGTACGGATGTGTAGGCAGTTCTGCAGAATTCAGCTTTTATTTTAAGGGCATTGAGAACCCACTGGGTGATTTATGGCAGGGAGTGGTAAGATGTGAGTTAATTCCATGGAAAAGGAACTGCGGAATGGAAACAGGCATAACAAGTAAGTGGTTCAGGTGAGAGGATGAACGGGGAGCCAGCGGTTGGTGAATGGGTAAAAGGTGGGAGAGTGTAGGGGGCATTTTTGTAAGTAGAGATGGTAATGCTGATCAAGAGAGTGGCCAAGGACCATATTTAGGTCTCAGATTTTCTCATGAGTGAGGGGACCTGAGCCCCAAAACTGCCATCTAGGGTAGCAGGGAAGGGACTGACGATGAGTTCATGAGTTGTGGGGCCTGCAGAGTGAGCAGCCGGAAGCCCATGAGAGGGAGCTGGGCTGAAGGTCTATGACACTCCAGTGCACCCATAAAAATGTACTTACTGTAAGTTCCTGGCTGAGATCAAAGGTTGCTTTTATGGGTGTTAGTCACAGTGTGTTGTGATCCTCTGTGTGACTTACCAGCATCCATCTCCCAGCAGCTCGGTGGATTTCGGGGCAGCTGTCAGGACAGTCTCCCATGACGGCCCCTCCCGCATCAGCAGGCATGTCAGTGTTGGGAGGTTACACACGGCAAGGCACTCAGTTTCCTAAGTGCTTCATCCCCTCACACAAGCAGGACATAGGGACCTTTTCAATTTGTCATCCTAATAAACATGCCTGTAAGTAAACACGCTTGGTTTTTATTTCCTGAATTACACCATCTTTTACATTTCTGGTGAACTCCTTTATGAGACACACACAAGGGGAGAAAGAGAGTCTAATATCAGCCATCGACATCAATCCTTTCATTGCGGGAAGTCCCCCTGGCTGAGGGGGGGTGGTGGCAGAGGACTCCCGGTTTAGGTAGAATGGCAGACTTTGGGGGCCTTTTACAGTTGCACCAGAACATTTCCCCCCAGTATGTGGGGATAGTTCATGAGCCGGCACTGACAACTACTCTCAAATTGGATTTCTTTCAAATAAAAGTAATGCTGGTTTGCCCCTTGAGGACAGCTGATATTGGCTCTAGTTTTGTAAGTATATGTGACCCAAAGGGTGACCCTTGGGAGCTGCATCACTTGGACACATATGTTCCCATTCCCGTATGCCAGGGCAGGTCTCAGCATGTAAACTCCCGGGGCACATGTGAGCTTAGCCTGGCTTCTGCTGGCTGGATGTGTTGCTTCTTTCTCTTGGGAATCTTATGCTTCCAGTTTAAACCTCAAGTATTATTTATTGTAAGCTATAGGATATGCAGGTAGTCGCAGAGACTTATACCCAGTTAAATAAGGTATAAATATATGCGTTCATTTAAATGAGCCTGGTTGAGAAAGTAGATGCTCAATAAATATGAATAATCATGATGGCAAGCAGGTTTCTTAAGTCAGAGTTATGGTTTGGGGGATAAGTTAGTAGTTAACAAACAAACAAGAAACACACCATCTGCTGTCAGATTTTGCTGGAACAACGCATTTTACATGGAAGGTTTTTAATAGAAAAGGAACTTTCTTAAGTACCAAGCTCAATGGTGCTGAGCAGTGTTTCCAGTTCCCAGCCAGTTCTATCAGGCCTAAAATGGTGTCATGCTTTGGCTGCCACCTCCAAAGCTCAGAGACTGATTTTTCCCCTTGGTAATCAGCAGCTGTGATTAAAGGGAGTGAGTGAAAAGTCTGAACAACGGTTCATGAAATAATCTGAATTTTATAAGGCAGTAAGAGTTTAATAGTGAGAGCTATACCCATTATTGAATGGAGTGAATTTTATACAAAGACTTTTAAACTAGGCTGTTCGCGAGGTAACTAATTATAATAAAAGGAAGAAAAAGAAAACCCTGAGATATAAATGTAGAAAATTCAGAAAGCCCTAAGAGTGAGAGTTTCTTTAAAGGGAGGAGGGGAGGAATTAAAATTTAGGAATTTAGCTGGGGGATTGCCCTGCGGGGCTGAACCTCAGGCGTCTTCCAGAGAACTGGCTGGCTGGTGCTACTGTGACTGAAGCAGGCGCAATGGTGAGTGTTGAGAAAACAGCACACTAACTTTAGGTGTTGCTGTGGAAAGCCAGGGAGACCTGGCAGCAGGTGGTTTTTTGGTAATGTATGGACTTATCCCCATACCTGGATCTGCTGTATCAAGAGGTGTTACTGGGGTGGTCATCCTGAGGCCCCCTAGGGTTCAGGAAGCCCTGATTAAACAAAAGGAAACAAATAAGAAGAAACAAGTCCCTCCTTCCTCCTCCAGCTTTGTCGTTTCCCTCTGTCTCCCTCTAGTGGCAGAGCCGGACGTGGTGCAGCTGGCAAAGCTCTCACATGGTTTGCCGAGCATGATGGAGGCATCACAAAGCCGAGTATGGAGGGCGGGTGTGGAGCTGTGCGATATCAACTTCACACCTGGCATCAAGAGGAACTTATTCTGAAACTCTTAAGCTGAACCTGCCCACACCGTTCTTTCCTTTCAGTCCCTTAATTTCATTGTTTCTTCATGAGTTTGGGAGTCAGAGTTGGAATCATATGTTAGTTTTTACTTATGAGCTGTGTGACTATAAGCAAACTATTTAACTTCACTTAACAGTCTAGTATTTACTTAATAAAAACTCTCGATTGAGATATGATTGAGATTAAAAAAAGTTGCATATGTTTAATGTATATAATTTGATGAGTTTGGGGATAAGTACACATGCATGAAACCATCACCACAATCAATGCCATAAACATACCTGTCACTTCCAAATTTTTTCCCTGCCCTCTTTTTGGTGACAAGGACACTTGATACCTACCCTTTTAGCAAATATTGAAGCATACAGTACAGTATTATTAATCTTAGACACTACTGTGTTTCCCCGAAAATAAGACATTCTCCGAAAATAAGACCTAGCACATGGAAAGATAAGACATCCCCTGAAAATAAGACCTAGCGCAACTTTGGGAGAAAAAATTAATATAAGACACTGTCTTATTTTCGGGGAAACAGGGTAGGATGTACCAGTAGATCCCGAAGACTTACCTTGCATAACTAAAACTTTGCAGCCTTTGACTATCACCTCCCCATTTTCCCCACCGGCAAGCCCCTGGTAACCACTTCTACTCTCTGCTTCTATGTTTGACTCAGATTCCATATATAATGGGATGGTGTAGTATTTACTCTTCCGAGTCTGGCTTATTTAACTTAGCATAATGTCTTCTAGGTTCATCCATGTTGCTACAAGTGGCATGATTTCCTTCTTTCTTAATATTGACTAATATTGCACTGTGTGTAATTCTATGTTTTTTTTTTTATTAATCTGTTGATGGATATTTAGGTTGATTTCATGTCTTGAGTATTGTGAATAATGTTGCGATGAACACAGGAGTGCTGATATCTCTTTGAGACCCTGATTTTAATTCATTGAACCTTCTTTAGTCTTAATCTACTCATTGACAAAAATATCTATTTCACAGGACTGATGTAAGTATTAAATGAAATTACGTAGCTTGTGGTACAGCATATGACATTAAACAAGGGAAGGAAAAAAGAGAGGGAAATAACCAGGAGAAAAATATACATAATTTCTATAATTTTTTTTCTAATTGTTACAAGGCTATAATTAATACCTAAACTCTCTTCTTCCACTACCCATTTCATATTTTCTTTACCCTCAGCCAAATGGGGTTCTTTACTGCTGGACGTGATTTAAGTCTTTTCTTGAGAGGTCTGAGTTCACAGTGGTATTGGCTTTTTCAGGTTATCAGTAAGTGGTTAAATTAGTATATGTTGACTTCAAAATCCAAAAAAGCCCACCCAAAGCCATGTTTTCTAACTGAAGATAGTTCACAGGTGCAGCAATATTGTTTTCACGGAAGTGAAGCCTCAACATGTCCCAGACCAGTGGTCGGCAAACTCATTAGTCAACAAGCCGAACTTTGCCGACCACTGTTCTAGACCATTTGACTCCAAGAAACTTCACTGGGGTTGTAGTATGTTTTACTAAGACATGGAAAGTACTTGCTACTTCCTGCTCATCAGAAACAATTAGCACGATGTCACCAATGTAGTGGACTGATATGATGTTGTGTGGAATGTCAGGATGATTAGGATATATCCTGAGTATATTATGATAGAGGAGGAGCGCTGACATAGCCCCAAGGCAACACTCAGAAAGTTACTGTTAGTCATACCAGGTAAAAGCATATTGCTTCTGATTGTCCTTGTGAACTGACACGGAGAAAAAGGTATTGTTCATTCAAAAGATGCATACCAGGGGTCTGGGGCTACATTGCTTCGTTTCATTAAAATAAGACCTAGCGCAACTTTGGGAGAAAAAATTAATATAAGACACTGTCTTATTTTCTGGGAAACAGGATAGGATACATCAGCTTCAATTGGGGTCACTACCTAAATTTTCTTTATCCATCATTGGCCGATGGGGTTGCTTTCATGTTGTAGGTATTCTGTGAATACTAATAAATCATTATGCTGTTATTCTCTAAGATTTGCCTACTCTTTCCATAGGACAAACAATAAGTAATAATAAGTAGTTCTTGTTACATAATAAATAATTATTCTATTATTATTTAAGATTTGCCTTCTCTTTCCATAGGGCTAACAATAAAGAATAATTAATAAATAAGTATTCTGTTATTTTTCTAAGTGTTGTCTACTCTTTTCATAGGACAAACACTTTGTAAGTGGGGAGATGCTAGATATCACCACTCTGGCTTTATTCAAGTTTGATCGTGGTGCTCATTTTCCAAGTTTTCCCATGGATATAGTATCATTTTTAGTTTACTACTCAAGTAACAAAGAGACCTTCCAGGGGTTTCTACTTGGCCCTTTCTACCATATGAGCTTTATTTCCTTAAGCCAGAGTGCTGATGTGGGGATTCTACCAATTGTCAAGCATGATTATTTCAATTATACGTTCACAGATTGGGGAATTGATCTGTAGATCTATTTTTACACTTTTTTTTTTCTGGATAGTAAAGTCTTCAAGGGTAAGAATTTTTCATCTTTCTGATTTCCATAAACACTTCTTTGAAAGTGGTGGCCCATAAATTTTTATTGAATGAATATACTACCTATGGCTTCAGTCTCTTTTTAAAAAGAAACAAGTGTATTTCTTATAAGTGGACATTCTTGAACTATAAGCAGTTATATACAAGTGGAGACACTGACCATGATTTCTTTGCCTCGTATATAACATTTATTAAGAAATGACAGAACACACTGCATCACAGGTATAATTAAAATAGCCAACAGGAAAGTTCATTATGATCCCCCCACAAGGGGTGCAATCATAGGTTGAAATATGGGAAAGACTGGTCTACTTCTTTAGAAGCTCAACGCTGGGCGAAGAGCTTCCATTCTCTCTGGTGACATCTGAGGAATGTCGCTTGGCTATACTTTGGTGACTTTACTGTTGAAAAAAAAAATCTAGGTAAATAGAAGCTAAAAATAGATCACAAAGCAGGGGGAAAATAGACCTGTGGACAGCTCTCAAGGATAGAATCCACAATATGGCAGCAATTTTCAACCCTGCGGGAAAATCAGGAATAGTAGATGCAAAGCAATTCGATGATCAGCAGGTGGCTCACAGCACTTCTGTGTCTGCAGTGGAGAGTCAAGGTATTCCTTGTAGAGTGGAATCTGATAGAACTCATGGGCTTGATAGCCCCCATAACAGAAATCCAAGTAGGAGTCTAAGAACTTGTTGAGGTTTGTTGTTGAGGAGATACATTATTCAGCTACTGTGTCCTGGGCAGTTAAACATCACCAAGTTGGCTTCTTAGCAGGTGGGCTCACAGCAGTAGCAGCAGCAGGCTGGGCGGCAGCAGGACTGTCCACAGTAGGACGGGCGGCAGCAGGCGGCCTGGGCATGGTGCAGCTGGCAGCAGGTTGGGGGGGTGCAGCTCACCACGCAGCAGGGGGGCAGGCAGGTGTCCTCCACGCGGCAGTCAGGGCGGCACCACCTGGTGCGGCAGCTCACACCTCCACAGCCACAATCCTGGCCACAGCCAGTGCCACAGCCGGTGCCACAGCCGGTGCCACAGCAGCTGGTCTGGCAGCAAGTTGGCTGGCAGCAGCTGGTCTGGCAGCAGGTTGGCTGGCAGCAGCTGGTCTGGCAGCAGGTTGGCTGGCAGCAGCTGGGGCCACAGGTCCCACAGGAGCAGCTGGGAAATCCACAGAAGCTGGTTTGACAGCAGGCCATGGTGTCGGGAGTTGGGGTGCTTGGAGGTTTGGTGGTGACTGCTGTGTTGAGCCTTTTATATATTCTGACCAGCTGGTATTTAGACAGTTCTTAACATATCTTCCTTGTTTTTGTTTAAATTTGCTCCTTAGTGGGCCTCTGATTGGCTTACATATAAATGCTTATGACACATTATGAGCAGCAGTTTAGAAATTACTTTGTTTTATAGTTTATTCGGACTCCTTGGATCGGACTTCTGCTCTTTGGAATAGGTTTGTGGTTTTCAAAGAGTCCTCCTATTTTTGTCCATGTCAACACACGTGCTTTATAGAGGTATTTTTTCCACATGACACTGTTCAGACCTCTAGGGCTAAGGATAATTGTGCTCCTTTAAAAAAAAACAACTATTATTTCCCCCCCATCTGGATTTATAGACTAAATTCTCTTGAATTTAGGACATCAGAACAACCACTGAGTTGAAAGCATGTCTTCTGCCATGCATAATTTAGTTTCCAAGTAATTTACTCCAACATCAAGTCCGATTCCTATTATAGTTCCTTTTATTTTACCAACTTGAAATGTGCAAATACTATTTGTGTTTCAGGCCAAAAATCTTTTCGTATGAACCAAATGACATAGTATATATAAAAGTATCTAGCAGTGCTTACCTACTGGTGGTACCTCAGTGTTTATTGAATATGATTTTGAATGGGAGGAACAAAAGGCATGATTCATGGATGCCTGTACCACTTAACAGTGATTGAATAGAACTTGCGAGCTTGCACCTCTCAAGAAGGAGTCTTTGTTATTGTCAAAAGAGACCAGGAAATGCTGACAATTTTTTCCCTGCATTTGATAGTTGAACCAAGGCTCAGGAAAAGCATCTTGGAGTTATGACATTTTGAAGAATACACTGCCATTTACTTTATTCTGTTACTAATTAAATGGTAGAGGTAAGTACTGGGAGCTTGTAAATAACTTGGGAAAGATGTTTTAAAGTGATATTTTGCCATGTTGTATTTTGTATGCTGCACTCAGATACTTAAAAGTTAATTGGTAAAAGGTATTTTGGGTCAAGATTTGTGCTAACTCCTCAAGAGAACATCTTTCAAATTGGATTGCAAAGTGCAAAATATATAGTTGTTTTATTTTTCAAATACATGTGTCTGACAAATGGTGATGGTGCAACTCAATGGGTATCTACATAGTTGTTTATTCTATTTCATTTAGACCAGTGGTGCACCTTATATATACTTATAATAGATGGAGGTCATTGTTGGGAGTTGAAGCTTAGAAATCAATTTGGGGGTCAGTGGGAAGAATATATTAGGGAAAGGCATAGGAATTAAAACCTGGTGCTCTTGGAAAATAGTGTCTGATAGTATCTGGTAGATACTTTCAAATTTATTTAGTTGGTACCACAATTTCTTTAAATATTAGGCATGCATGAAGGAGGACATCTAGTAGATTAAAGGGAAGGAGATTAAAAGTCATAGAAGTACATCTAGGTTGAAATCCCATTGCTTTGATCAACTTGAACATTTTAGCTAAAAGTGGCCTTATTCGTTTAGATTTAATCATAATAGATTTGGAGCATGTACATTTTTTAATAACTGCAAGTATTATTTAATGCATGGAACATCTCATTAACTGATGGGTGAAAGCATATTATTGTATTTTTCTGGTTTAGACTTTATGTTTATGCCTTAGGATTATTATCAAAGTGCAAATCCACTTCTCTTGAATTTCAGCTGAAGGTGGACAAGCTAAATGATGGAAGAAAATGACTCAGTTTGCTTACACAATTAAACATTTTATTTTAAATTAAGGGGGTTTTGAAGAAGAAAGCAGGTCTGAAAATGAGTGGGGATCATGAAATAGGGAGGAGGACAGAGCTGTCATTGATCTGACACTGATAAATACACATTTTCAATGGGCGAATTCAGCACACTCAAGAGGGGCCTAAGACTTGTCATTTCTAAGCGGCTTAGAAACATCGCGATGCATCTTCTTCAGAGATCAAGGCAGTTTTCCCGAGTTGCTTTCTTTGATTCTTAAGTACTCAGCAGCCTTCCTTTTAGCAGGTGGGCTCACAGCAGTAGCAGCAGCAGGCTGGGCGGCAGCAGGACTGTCCACAGTAGGATGGGCGGCAGCAGGCGGCCTGGGCATGGTGCAGCTGGCAGCAGGTTGGGGGGGTGCAGCTCACCACGCAGCAGGGGGGCAGGCAGGTGTCCTCCACGCGGCAGTCAGGGCGGCACCACCTGGTGCGGCAGCTCACACCTCCACAGCCACAATCCTGGCCACAGCCAGTGCCACAGCCGGTGCCACAGCCGGTGCCACAGCAGCTGGTCTGGCAGCAAGTTGGCTGGCAGCAGTTGGTCTGGCAGCAGGTTGGCTGGCAGCAGCTGGTCTGGCAGCAGGTTGGCTGGCAGCAGCTGGGGCCACAGGTCCCACAGGAGCAGCTGGGAAATCCACAGAAGCTGGTTTGACAGCAGGCCATGGTGTCAGGAGTTGGGCTGAGAGGTGTGTTGTTTAGAGAAGTTTCTGAGTTTTGGCTGCACCTTCTACACCTGGCCTTTTATATAGTCCCCAGAGACACCCATTTTCCTCACATTTAGCATCTTTCCTTGAAACTATTTGCAAAGTCAGTCTCTGATTGGCTAATATCTGAGTTGTTTAGAAAGTTATAAATAGCATTTTAATAGCCTGCTTTGGTCATTGCTCAATTAAGTCTCATTACGTTTCTTCTTTGCCCTGTGGGGCAAGTGAAGACTCATCGTGGAAGGCAATCATGGCAGCTCCTCTGTATGTTAGTCACATCAGGGACCAAACTTGAGCCAACCACTGCCTGGCTTGCTTTGTCCAATCTGTCCTTTGATAACCTTCAAGCAGAGTCTATCTAGACTGAACATTTTCTTTGTAGGTGGTCACTCAATTAGGATCCTGATTCATAAACACGTTGTCTAGACTTCAATGACCTTAGTGTCATCAAGACTTGAGCACTCACTTGGTTCATCAATATCCAAAAGAAGTATGCCTTTCTGTGATCAGAGGGGGGCAAGTTACAGGATTCTCAGAGCTCTAGCGGGCATTTGCCTTCATCATCAATGTACATATTCCCAATTGAGACCCTAATGACTTCAGCTTGTGGATTGTTTTCTGACTGTACTAAATTAAGAATATATGTCGGTAAAGAACACATTTTAACAAGTTAGGCAGTACCAAAAGTTAATATCCCCCCTTCCCGAAATATACACATCCCTTCCAAAAGTAGTATTCCAGATAACCAATATTAAGTTTGGTTCTTGTTCTCCAATACTTTCTTCTCGTTTTTTGTAAACATGAAGCAGCATCTGTGCACATAGATCTTCTAATTCAGTAGTTGAGGTCTCCTATACTACTTATTTTTAAACAACTTAATTGTAAAATACACATACAATTTATCATTTTAACCATTTTTAAGAGTGCAGCTCACTAGTGTTAAGTAAATTCACATTGTGAATTTGTTTTATCTTGCAAAACAGAAATTCCATATCTATTGAACAACTTTCTCCTCTCCTCCCCAAATCCTTGACAACCACCATTCTACTCTGTGCCTTGGTGAATTTGACCACTCTCGGTATCTCATACAAGTTGGATCATCCAATATTTGTCTGTTTTGTGTCTGGCTTATATCACTCAGCATAATGCTCTCAAGAGTCATCCATGTTGTAGAATATGCCGGAATTTCCTTTTTAATGTGTCAGATTTTATAGTGTGGGCTTTTTGTATATGACTTTTATTATGAAGAGATAGTTTCCTTCTATTCTTCGTTTGTTGAGTATGTGTGTTTGTTTTTTTTAAATCATGAAAGACTGTTAAGTTTCATCAAATGTTTTCTCTGCACCTATTGAGATAAAGCATGTGTTCTCCCCTCCCCTGCTCCCCCGATTCTGCTATGTGATGTATTGGATTGAGTGATTTTCATATGTTGAAAATTTACTTGGTCATAGTGTATATCCTTTAATGTGCTTTTGAATTCTGTTTGATAGTATTCTGTCAAGGGATATTGCATCAATATTAATCAGCGATATTGATCTGTAATTTTCTTTTCTTATAGTGTTTGTCTGACTTTGGTAGCAAGGTAATGCTGGCTTCATAGAATGAGTTTGGAAGTGTTTCTCCTTTCATTTTCTTTAAGTGTTTGTTAGAATTCATTAGTAAAGCCAACTGATACTGGGATTTTCTCTTTTAGGATGTTGTTTATTACTCATTCAATCTCCTTCTTAGCTATAGCTCTGTTCAGATTTATGTATCTTCATGATTCATTTTGATAGGAAATAACCACTTCATCTAGATTATCCAATTTGTTGACCTATCCTATCATACCATTACAGTTTCTTTTAAATAGCTATGTGGTATTCCTGAGTATGATCACACTGCACTCTCTTCAGTCATCCTCTACTGATAAAATCTCAATTGTTTTTAGTTTGTGCTTTTGAATTTTAAAAAATTATAGAATTTTAAGCTGAAAGTAATTTTAAACAAGTCCAGAGTTAGGAGATTAGAAGTGGCCACATGATGTAGGGAACTGAGCCTTTAACTGAGAATTAAATTAATTCAACCAAAGAGGCTTCTCAAACTGGTTCTACCGTTATGTGACTGAACCTCAGAAAAATCACTTAATCCCTCTGAGCATTGGTTTGTTCATCTGTGAGATGAGATGCTCTCTCAGACACTTCCAGGGTGAAAATTGTGCTATTGCTCCACCAGATCATTGGTCCCTTAAGGACATGATCTTTCCATGTCCGATTTGCCTTGGTTTCCTCCATAGTAACTTCTGCACTATCTGAGTGTCAATGTTCAGTATGCACTTGCTGAATTAAAGAGGGAATGAATGATGAGGAGTGTATGATAATGATAAACATCCGAATTTGCCTCCTACTAAAGTCACTTGTCTATTTATTTATTTATTTATTTATTTATTTATTTATTTACTTATTTATTTTTCTCATCTTCCTTCTGTTCTGGTGTTCAGGGAGTGTTTTGTTGATTTGATTAGATTTCTAGGTGCTGCGTCAGAGAAAGTGGTTCTTTGCTTACATGTTATCCTTTATCCATGCTTTCTAATTACTTGATGTTTATTAACCTATAGATGAATAAAGCATTGGAATTTTAACCAAAGTAATATATATATAATATTAATATATATATATATATATATTTTAATCCTCACCCAAGTTATGTTTATTGATTTTAGGGAGGAAGGGAGAGGGAGAGAAAGAGAAACATCATTTCGTGTCTCTGTATGCAGCCTGATGGGCAATTGAACCTGCAACCCATGTAACGTGCCCTGATTGAGAATCGAACTTGAAATCTTTTGGTGTACAGGATGACATTCCAACCAACTGAACCATCCAGTCAGGACCAAGGTAATATTCTTAAAAAAAAGAGAATACCTTCAGTCTCATCCAGTTTTAATCCCAAGAAACCATGAATTAACCATGATCCTTTCCCAAAAATTTGTGAAATATTCTGCGATGCTTGTGTTTAAATTCATTTTAGATATGTATTATATATAAATGCATGTATATGTATAATGCATATGTATTTCTGTTAAGCATACGTTTTAAGCCAATGTGCAATATGTTGCTTCTAAAAAATAGAGCAAAATCTTTATTATCCTCACCTTCAGTTTAGAAACTAGGGAAGAAAAGTTTCTGGAGTAAAAAATCTCCATCTAATTAAAAGCATATTTTCTCAGAGAGGCTTCCCCAACTTGTAGTTTGCTTGCTTTATTCTGCAAGACCACATGCAGATGGAAGAGTGGGGTTTACTAGCCTAATTACCAGTCTTTGAAGATCGCCTGAAAGAGCATTCCTTCAACAGATGTGAAAAAATGACTCATATTCTGGCGCTAGAGTCAGAGGTCCTGGCTCTGTAGCTTTCTGGCTGTGAAAGCACTGTGTGAGATCAGGACTTGGTCATAGAGCTGTGCCACTTCTGAGGCCCTAGAACTGCCCTTTCTGGATGATTTTATGGGTATGAACCTCCATTGGAGCTCATCAAAAATTTTCCTAACATTGTATAAGCAGAGCAGTGTGGCGTAGCAAAACCAGATTAAAATATTTTGCATGACTTTCTATGAAATATCATCATGAGCACACCCACGGAAGAAAAACAGATATATCTGCTGCACCAAATAAATATAATTTATTAGGCCTGAGTATAGTATTCCTCTTTTATGGCAAGTGCAGGTTGCAGGATGGTAGAGTAGAGGAGGTGAATGCGTCTGAGAAGAATAGACAGTTCCTCCCCGGCCGCAGCACTGCGTCCTGGAGCGTGGGATCGAATACCTGCTGAAGGTCAAGCCCAATGCAAATTGGTTTTCCCATTTCTTGAGTCCAATTTGTATTTGGCAGCTTCAGTGGGGAGATCAGGTCTGTGAGGCTCAAGTATTTGCTAACTCCCACAACAAAAGCCACACAAAAGTTCCAGAACTTGTTAGGCGTCCAGGGGTGGTTGAAGAAATAATTAGTTCATGGATGGAGTTGGGAAGTTGAAACTTCAGGTTGAAAATCATTAACTTGGCTTTTAGCAGGTGGGCTCACAGCAGTAGCAGCAGCAGGCTGGGCGGCAGCAGGACTGTCCACAGTAGGACGGGCGGCAGCAGGCGGCCTGGGCATGGTGCAGCTGGCAGCAGGTTGGGGGGGTGCAGCTCACCACGCAGCAGGGGGGCAGGCAGGTGTCCTCCACGCGGCAGTCAGGGCGGCACCACCTGGTGCGGCAGCTCACACCTCCACAGCCACAATCCTGGCCACAGCCAGTGCCACAGCCGGTGCCACAGCAGCTGGTCTGGCAGCAGGTTGGCTGGCAGCAGCTGGTCTGGCAGCAGGTTGGCTGGCAGCAGCTGGTCTGGCAGCAGGTTGGCTGGCAGCAGCTGGGGCCACAGGTCCCACAGGAGCAGCTGGGAAATCCACAGAAGCTGGTTTGACAGCAGGCCATGGTGTCAGGAGTTGGGTTGAGAGCTGGGGTGCTTGGAGAAAATTTTTATGTTTGGTGATGACTTCTACATTGGGCCTTTTATAAGCCTTGGCCAGCTATTATTTACATAATTCCCGAAGTCTCTTTCCTGTTTGTGTTTAAATAACTTGTTTGTGAAGGATAATTGTCCTGTTCCTGAGTTATTTGTGCAACCTTCTGAAAGCCTTTAAAGGTTGATTTTATTTGGTCTTCATTTAGGATTTTTTTACCATGGCCCAGTAGTCATTAGCGTTCCTTGAGGACATAACCCCTAATTTCTCATATTCGTTACAAGGTGCTCATTGCCCAGGGAATAATTGGCTGATGCCTCACCTTTAAGGAGTGTAAATATTACTCAATGTTGACCCTAATAATTGAGCTCTTGGGTCTCACATGACAGTCTGATGCTCAGCCACGTTGACAGCTCCCCTTCCCTACCCTTTCTTCTCCTCACTTTGCCAGAGCAGCAGAGTGATTCAGCTGCACAGAACGGAGGCTTTCATCAGGGGCTGGGAAATATGGATGAATTGTTACTGAAAACATATGTGAAACACTTGCGTCCAAACAGTTCTGAGCACTTTGCTTGCATTAATTTATTTAATTTTCACAGCAACCCCTCCTCCCCCGGGGCATGTATCATTGCTGTTATACCATCTCTATGAGGACAGTGAGCCACAAACAGATGTAAGTCATTCGCCCAAGTTCACACTAACAAATGGTGAATCCGAAATCTGAACCATGCCATCTGACTCCAGACTAAACTTGCAACTATGATTGTCTTTTCCATGTAAGCAGATGTTCTAGGGAAAACCAATGGAAATTTGCCCTACTTCTCACAGACTTTTTGAGAGTAGAGGAAAAAAAGACAGAGTTAAGCATGAGTAATAACTCCGTGATTAGAGATTTCTCTGGAGATTTTATTTAATTTACTTTAAATATATATATATATATATATATATATATATATATATATATATATATATATATTGATTTCAGAGAGGAAGGGAGATGGAGGGAGAGATAGAAATATCAATGATGAGAGAGAATAATTGATTGGCAGCCTCCTGCACGCCCTCCACAGGGGATTGAATTTACAATCCGGTCATATGCTCTGATCAGGAATCGCACTGTGACGTCCTGGGTCATAGGTCAATGCACAATCACTGAATCATGGCATCTGGGCAAGAGATTTTACTTTTTAAAAACTATTAATAGGTATACTTCAAGAAAATCTTAAGTGCTGAAAGAGTTGTGACTACTTGACTTGCGACTTCATCCAATAGATTTAAATGTTCTTTTCTTAAAATTGAGATATGATTGACATATTAGTTTTAAGTGTACAACATGATTTGAAATCCTATATAATAAAAGGCTAATATGCAAATTGCCCCTCAAGAAGGAGTTTGACCAGGAGTTCAACTGGAGTTTGACCAGGGGGTAGGGCCAGCCAGCCAACTGCCCCAGCCCCTCACCCTGGCCCACCCCATCCCTTATCCCTCCCCACCCTAATCTGGGGCAGGGCTGGCCAATCACCTATGGCCCCTCTCTGCACCCCCCCCCCCCCCCCGTTGGCCAGGCCCTAAGAGCCTGATTGGGATAGGCCAGCTGGACCCCACCTGTGCACAAATTTGTGCACTGGGCCTCTAGTATGTACATATTGTGAAATGATCAACACATCACCACAGTAAGTTAAGATCCATCACGACACAGAATTTTTTCCTTGTGCTGAGAACAAATGTTCCTAACTGCATAAAAATCACACTCTTAATGTATTAAAACTGGGGTGTGTGGCATATTATGGAGTGTTAGACCTAGAGTGTGCAGTTTATTGTAGTTGTTAGAGATTAATCCAATGCCATATAGAGGGTTTGAATCAGAACGCCTAGTGTTAATTCTGCTTCTCTTGAAATGACAGCTTTGAGATCAGATCATAACTCTTCCCAGGTGAATTAAGACATTTTCAAATTCTACATCAAATGTGAATTAAAAGGTATGGTTCTTTGTGAAAATTTTTGCTTTTCCTTTAGCAAATCTGTATCACCAATTCTTTAATTAGCTAATATTTCCATATTGGATGTTTTAAATATGTGGATTTCTTGTTACTAAAATCTCAGGAGCTAATTCATACCTAAATCTAGCAGAATCCTTGATACTAATATGATTTATCTTTTTTTTGCACATATTTCAGATGTTTGAGGAGTTAAAATTCATACTGACAAGGACACTGGAGATAGAGTAGCATTATATATCATATTTCCATTTATGTGCTTCTCTATCATGGAATTGCTTTCAACATTTTTCTCAATGAAAAATTTAACTCAAATTTTGTGTTTCTGGTCTTTAGTTGCCCAAGGAAAGAGCTGTAGGTTCAACAAGCTGTGTAATTCTTAAAATGTGCTAGTGGAGAATTCTTTCTCTTTGACTTTAAAAAATTGAGGTGAAATTCTTTTAATCATATATTTTGGCTGCAGAATATTGAACCACTTAATGGCAATACAAAGAATAACTACCTTTTAAAGATGATTATTAAAAGCATAGTACTGAAAACGCACAATGCTATGCCACATTTATTGAGATATTAGAAAATCCCCGTATCAATACAAGTTTAAAAGAAAAGAACTCTTCAACAATGATTTTATCACTGAGGAACGAAAATTTTTATTAAATCCCAAACCCAATGTTGAAATATTTCAGGAGATATTTATGGTAATATATCATGCCTTCTTTTCAGATTGTAGGACTTCAGTTGATATCCAGGTCCAGGAAATAATTTTGGTCTTCTATCATACATTAATATACATCGTAGGGAAATTACGCAGCTTTGTGACAAGAGGTTACAAGCTGGGTTATGAGTATTGGAGCTTAGAAGTTTGTTGAGACTCTAACATTGGTTAGTTTGGATATGCAATTTGCTCAGGATTCCCATCAGAAGGAGGTTTTTCAACAAGTGGGCTCACAGCAGGTGGGCTCACAGCAGTAGCAGCAGCAGGCTGGACGGCAGCAGGACTGTCCACAGTAGGACGGGCGGCAGCAGGCGGCCTGGGCATGGTGCAGCTGGCAGCAGGTTGGGGGGGTGCAGCTCACCACGCAGCAGGGGGGCAGGCAGGTGTCCTCCACGCGGCAGTCAGGGCGGCACCACCTGGTGCGGCAGCTCACACCTCCACAGCCACCATCCTGGCCACAGCCAGTGCCACAGCTGGTGCCACAGCAGCTGGTCTGGCAGCAGGTTGGCTGGCAGCAGCTGGTCTGGCAGCAGGTTGGCTGGCAGCAGCTGGGGCCACAGGTCCCACAGGAGCAGCTGGGAAATCCACAGAAGCTGGTTTGACAGCAGGCCATGGAGTCAGGAGTTGGGTTGAGAGGTGGGGTGCTCTGAGGAGTTTCTGAGTTTGGGCTCCTTGTTCCACTGGGACCTTTTATAGGCTTTGGCCACTTCTTTGTCATGGATAGCATTTTTCTCTTGTTCTTCTTTAAACAAGCTTTCCCAGGGCCCTCTGATTATTCAGATACTGACTTATTTTAAACATATGTCTAAATTGGTTTTTCCTTATTGCTCAGCTGGTAGTACTCACCAAATGTGTCCAGTACTTCTTGGTAAGTTCTCCACCCCCCTCCCCCAAACAATGCTGTAATTTTTACTTAACAAAGTGACTCTCATTCACCAAAACTCAAGTCTTCAGAAAAAAAAAATTAACCATTGACTGTTATTGTTAACCATTGCCTTTATGTAAGGCTATCCCCCCCGCACCCCTCCCCCCCAAAAAATATATATATATTTTTAAATTGATTTCAGAGAGGAAAGGAGAGGGAGAGAGAGAAACATCAATGATGAGAGAGAACATTGATCGGCTGCTTCCTGTATGTCCCACAGTGGGGACTGAGCCTGCAACCCTGGGCATGTGTCCTAACCGGGAATTGGACCATGAACTCCTGCTTCATAGGTCGACTCGCAGCCACTGAGCCATGCTGGCCAGGCTAGGTAAGGCTGTCTTTATGTTTGTTTAGATTAATAAGGTATCAGTCTCTACACTCACCCACGTAGAAACTCTGATATACTACCCTTCATAGAAATTAATAGATCTTTCTAGAAATTGGATCTTTCTAATTTCTATGCTCTCTCCTAAACTTCACACAGTCAGCCCTGAGGAAACATTTATCACTCAGGAGGATATAGGGAACAAAACCTGTTCAATTCCAATTTACTATGGATATTTTGTTATCAAAATTTTAAAATAAGGGCTAAAATTTATATCTAATAATTAAGAAAAAATCACAAAAAATTTAAGTGTAATTTATATTTCTATGAAACATGAAAATCATTGCTGTACAGTTTATCTGGATAGTATTGATTTCTCAGAGGTGGGATTTATTTCAGTTTACGCCATTTTATGTAACTACACCTTGTATCTTATATATCAGACCAAAGAGCAAAACAATTTAATTTATAAAGGGAACCAATAAAATAAGTAGCAGGAACTTGGAAATACTTTTTATGCTTATAGGGCAGGACAGAAAATGGATGATAAAATATTGTATAATATGTGCAAAGTAAAATGGAAACAATTCCTGGTAGTTGGGTAAAAAAAAAAAATGATGTTTATGGTTACAGGGGGAGAAATGAAAAAAATGTTATGTCCAAAAGAACATAGTGTTGCTACTTATGGAAGGCTTGTTCCTTCCTTCCAGTCATGAATAGATGTACATAGTTAGCTTGTATGAGATAGAGGTGTTGGATAATACAAGGATAGAATTCATGCCAGTGTCAATAAAGATGGTCATGTCATATGATAACCATGACTGTAGGTATGAAGTTGAAAAATGGTTAAATGGAATAATTACATATTAGAGATCAAAACCTTAATAAATCATCTTGTCCAACTATTTAATTTTATAGGTACAGAAACTGACATCATTCTTTTTATAAATAGCACATGTTTATTAAATGCTATTACATATGAGGTACTAAAGTGTTATGTAGAAAGCAAAACCTAATCTGTTCGCCTCACATTTGCTCTAGTGCACAAGTCAGTATAGTATTGATAGGAGGGATTGATCAAGGAAAAGAGTCAAATATAGTACCCATTTAATCTCAAAGTTCTAAATTGGGACATTGGTGCTAATGTTATGAACTACTTTTAATTCCTTCTGAACATCAGTTGATGTTAAAATACCATTGAGTCTAGAAATGGCTGCATTTTGGAGAGATAATTGACTTGCTACATTCACATAGCCAGTACATAGCCGGAAGAGCTAGGTATAAAACACTTATCCTTCGCTTCTAAATCTGTTACATTTTATTTTCTGTTGCTGTCCAGATTTAGAGTTAGTAAAATTCATTGTCTCCTGTTTTAAAAGTATTTTACAATGGCTCAAGAATGTGAATATTACTGGAAGGCAGAATACATGGTGGAGTAGTGGTTTTAAACACACAGTAAATAAGCATAAGTACGTTAACTTTCTTTCAGGTGTTTGCTTATCAAAAAAGTTCCATCTAAAACTGCTTCCTAATTGTTTCTTATTTCCCATATTGGGACTAGCTAATATTCCTCCAGAGTTTCTAGGTCTGCCATCCTTTTTGTGTCTTCTTTATTCTGTGCCATCATCTTAGTTCAGCTCTCAATTTGTTTCTGTATAGTCATCATATGTATTGCTTGTGGTCTTCTGTTTTTAAAGCAGTGACCATAGGAACTGCCCCAATGTCCAACTCCTGTCATGCCATTCCCCTGTCTCAAGGCTTTCAACAGCTCCTTAGTGCTTATTGCCTTGAGGGCATATTCATTTGGTTAATATTCAAAGCACAAAAAGTTTCCAAATTTACCTTCTACTATTAGTCTATATATATATATATATATATATATATATATATATATATATATCCAGTGCCCTCAGGCAACTCTTCTCGAACAACCTGTCTATACCTGTGTGCATACTATTTCCATAACTGAGAATGCCATCTTCCTTCAGAACTGTACCCCAAAATCTTAATGCTTATAAAATACTGGGTTCTCCTTTCAGTCTTTCTTGTTCTCCAGCAGTGATTTCTTGTTGATACCAAATAGGGTGTTGTGCTTTGACTTTTTTCATATTCTAATTTTTAATTGATTGATTATTAATTTGATTCACCTTTCTGGAAGTTTCTTGAAGAGGGGAACATTTTAAAGTCAATTTTGCTTTCTATTATATACCATACCATGTGTAACTTGCAAATGGTAGTCAATCAGCACATTTATTAAAATTTAATAAACAAAATTAGAATGAATAAATAAAACCAAAGCTGTGATTGCTAGGCCAAGGAAGAGAAGTTTATTAGAAACCAAACATGCCAAAAAGACCTAAGATCTAAGATGGAAAGAAAGAAGTTGCTACTATGACCAACACTTGAGAACAGCCCAACTCTTAATAGATGAGTTTGGATCTCCATGTAACTTCTGGCTGACTTGAGGTCCTAATGGCTCAGGGTAGGAGTTTTGTTGGGTAGAGAAGGTTGATTGCTTGCTCTAGGCAGCTCAGCAGCAGCAGGAGGGGCAGGTCCTGCAGGTGGTGCGGCAGGGGGCAGGCTGGCAGCAGGGGGGCCGGCAGCAGGGCGCCTGCACACAGATGGGCTGGCAGCAGGTGGAGGCCCAGCAGCAGGGGCGGCACACAATGGCCGTGCAGGATGTGGGGCAGCAGGCGATGGGGCGGCAGCAGCCCTCCTGCAGGCCACAGGGGTCACAGCAGATGGGGCGGCGGCAGGGCTCACAGATGGGGCGCGTGCAGCGGGGCACGCAGGTCACGGGGCGGCACACGGTGGTCTGGCAGCAGCAGGGGCGGCAGCAGCAGGGGTCTCGGCAGCAGCAGGGCTGGCAGCAGCAAGGCTGGCAGCAGCAGGGCTGGCAGCAGCAGGGCTGGCAGCAGCCTTCCCCACAACTGGAGCAGGTGGAGCCACAGCAGGAGCCGGTCATGGTGGTGTCTGAGGGTGGGCTGGGTTGGACTGGTGAGAGGAGTTGGGTGTTCTCAGGTGTGAATGTCTTCCTCTCCCACAGGGTCCTTTATATACCCTGGCCTGGTGCTGGTGGCCCCTCTTGTTTACCTTTTGGCCAATTAACTAGAAATTTGTTTTGACTAATGGTTGCATTGCTCATGACAGACTCATGATCTCATTAAGGAACTATTTTCGTACGTCAAATATGGATATATTTATGCTGTTTATCATAAAAATGTAAGCAGTCACAGTCGTTTCAGATGATAGCATCTTTTGATGCTCATTTTGAGTAAAGAGCACCTGATGAATCCTGGACAGATGGTTCTACAGGAATTGCAATTTTTAAAAGAAATTAAACATAATATAGGGGTGTATAGAACAACGACTAGATCCTAATGTTGGCCCTCAAAGAGCTCTCTGAAAAGCCTACACGTTAATCACACAGGTATTGCACATGTCCTTCCTTGGAACTACCTATTACTTGCTATAATGGAATGGATGTATACTTAGAATAAGACCGCAGCTCATACACTTGTATGGGAAGCAGAAACTCTGTTTTTGTAAACCATGTAAGTATTGGAATAAAGTATCCAAGACTGCCATCCATTTTTTATTTATTTTTCTCTAGTTCATGCTGTCCATATCTCTGGTCCTTCAGATCACAGAATGATGGCCATGAGACATGGTATTTTTAAAAATATGTATATGTATATATTTTTATTTCAGAGAGGAAGGGAAAGGGAGAGATAGAAACATCAGTGATGAGAGAATCATTGATTGGCCGCCTCCTTCATGTCCCCTATTGGAGATCAAGCCTTCAACCCGGCATGTGGGGAATTGAACCATGACCTCCTGTTTCATGCTCAACCACTGAGCCATACTAGCCGGGCAAGAGATATGGTATTTTTTATACTTGGTTTTCTTGTGTATGTGATCAAGAATGATGTCATGAGAAGCTTTTTCTTAATTTACCTGCGCATGGTGCTATGACTAAGAAGTGACAAGATGGGGGTTTCCCACCAGCAATGCAAGCATGTGCCATACCTTATTCAGAGGCATTATCTTGGAAGCCCACACAACTGCTCTGCCATGGCTCAGCCAGACATGTGATGGACACGCTTCTCCTGGAGGCAGAGGCAGAGGCAGAGGCAGAAAGGAATTGCATGGAAACAACCTCATTACTCCTCTGTGTCACCCCTCCTATTAGTCACCAGCCAGGATTGGGGATCACTTCGGGATCTTTCTCATTATTCAGAAGACTGTGCCTTGGGCCCCAGGAGCCAAAGCTCCCTAAATGGAATTTCAAACATAATTTCAAATCTTTAAAAGGAATGTAAAATGACGAAACGTGTAGTCACCACTGGGGAAAACAGAGGAGGGAGAAGTCAAGCGGTCTCATCAGTGAAGACGTTTGATTCGCTCACATGTCACATTCTTTCTCTTGTCCATAGACACACGTGATTTTTTCAAAGCAGTAACCAGAGCCTAGATAAAAACTGGTATATTCTGCTTTCTTCCCTCCCCCAGGTTTATTAAGGTATAATTGATATAAGCCTTGAATAAGTTAAATGTATATTGTGATGACTTGACACATACATGTTACAAAATGTTCACTCCAGTAAGGTTAATGAACATATCCTTCACCTCCATAATTATTTTGTTGTTGCGGTGGTGGTGAGAACATCAAAGCTCTGCTTTCAGAGCAACTTTCAGGTATACAATAGAGTGTTGTTAACTATATTGTATTGTATGTCGTCCATGTATGTTGTACATGTCGATGCCTGAACTCATTCACCTTATAAGTGGAAGTTTGTATCTTTTGGCCAGCACTCCCATCTCTCCTACACCTCAGCCCTTGGCAACCGCCTTCCTATACTCTGTTCCCATGAGTCCTGTAATTTTTGGTTACATGTATAATGCCATTAATGGCCAAAGATAAGCAGCCCTGGGGAGTTGGTGTGGATTTACAATCCACAAAAGTGGATTCTAATTGACAATCAGATGCTAAACATCGCAGGGAATGCACTATCCGGTGCCATTACTCTTGGCCTCAGAAGACGGGAGAGTTCCTCTGACTAGAGGAGCTACACTAACGGGCGTGTTAGACTTAAAGGCTTATTGTCAGGGGGCTTGCCTCTCCTGGGTCTTTTCTGAGCCTTGGTGGTTATAATTACATTAAAATTACGTTACCAAGGACTTACTTCATGTCTCATTACTCATTGCTCCTCAGCTTCAAAACCAGATGATTGACCGGATGTCACCTAAGATTGCTTTCAGCTCATAGAAAGGCACTGGGCTTTCTATGCTGTGCCAGCGGGTGCCAGGCCAGTGAAGGAACCCTCGGACTGGGTTCTGTATGTCAGACAAGAGCAGCCTCCTTACTGATCATTCAGAAGGCGTTTTGTGTGTCTGAATAATGAGCGCAAGTAACTCTGTACACGTGATGAAAATGTAGCCATGTCCACCTTCCTCACTCAGCGCCTGGGCCTTATAAATGCTGTTTACAGGGATAACAAGGAAACTAAGCAGACGTAGATTATCGCATAGAACAGTGGAAGATGTTTATTTGGCATCTTGTTTTGAAGTTCTGTGGTCAAAACAGAGAGACAGAAACCCATGGAAAGGAAACACCACAATGATCACGATTCCTATGCTGTGAGCACAAAGTTTATTCGAAAACAGACACCATGGTTTGGAGCTAGACCAGGGCACTCTTCACTGGCAGTTAGCCTGGAAAGGTGTCTCCAGGAGCTGTTTGAAGAAATGAGAGATGATCTTCTCAAGAAAGGCCATGTTGTTCTGCTGTGAAGGGACAGTGGGATGGACCTGGCCATCTACTGAGGGGCCTTGGGGACGATGCACTGCTCAGCAGCAGCAGGAGGGGCAGGTCCTGCAGGTGGTGCGGCAGGGGGCAGGCTGGCAGCAGGGGGGCCGGCAGCAGGGCGCCTGCACACAGATGGGCTGGCAGCAGGTGGAGGCCCAGCAGCAGGGGCGGCACACAATGGCCGTGCAGGACGTGGGGCAGCAGGCGATGGGGCGGCAGCAGCCCTCCTGCAGGCCACAGGGGTCACAGCAGATGGGGCGGCGGCAGGGCTCACAGATGGGGCGCGTACAGCGGGGCACGCAGGTCACGGGGCGGCACACGGTGGTCTGGCAGCAGCAGGGGCGGCAGCAGCAGGGGTCTCGGCAGCAGCAGGGCTGGCAGCAGCAGGGCTGGCAGCAGCAGGGCTGGCAGCAGCCTTCCCCACAGCTGGAGCAGGTGGAGCCACAGCAGGAGCCGGTCATGGTGGTGTCTGGGGGTGGGCTGGGTTGGACTGGTGAAAGGAGTTGGGTGTTCTCAGGTATGAATGTCTTTCTCCCGCACAGGGTCCTTTATATACCCTGGCCTGGTGCTGATGGCCTCCAGGACGCAAGACTATTTCCTTGTTTTTGTGTATTTATTTTGAAATGTCACTGATAGGCTAATAAGTCTCTAGACACTGTTTTTGGTACGCAGGTACTCATAAAAGACTTTGTTTTCCTTTTTTGGTCAAGACTCATTATGTTTTGCTATTTATAGTTCAAATCTGGACTTACCGGTAATGATCTTAACTTCAAAGTCTCCAATTATCTTTATAACTTAGCGATGCTTTGCCAATTGGTGTTTTGATAGCACAAGAGTAACTGTCGTGCTCTTAGGGATACTTATTGACCAGGAAGTGGATTCCCGAGTTGAGTGTCCTTTTGCACTGCTATGCCTCTTGCACAAAACAAGTTCAGAAAAATACTAAGGGATGTTTTTAAAGTTGTGGTTTGTCAGGAAAAGAAGAATTTTTTAGTCTATGTTTTGGAGCTACAGGAATGCATCTTCCTAAACTTTTATCATCAGTGTTTCTTTTTATTCCATTTTTAAAAAACATAGAATGTTTGGTAAAATCCATGTGACATAACATGGACTATCATTGCCATTTTTGTTATACAGTCCAGTGGCATTAAATACTGTCATATTATTGTGTAACCATTACCACCATCCATCTCCCCAACTCTTTCATCTTATAAACTAAAACTCTACCCATTAAACACCAATTTTCTCTCCAGCCCATGACAGCCACCATTGTATTTGCTTTAAAAAAAATTATCCTCTCTTTCCCCTCAAACCCAGCCTATGGTAACCACCATTCCACTCTATGAATTTGGGTGTTTTTAGTCTTAAATTACATGCTCATTAATTTTCATAATTATATTTTCCCATACCAAGGTGAGTTTTATTATTTATAACCAACATGTTAGCCACTATTACTTGGTTCTAACTCTGTTCCAAACATTATGCAAAAGCAATAAAGGCATTACTTTATTCTTTGTACAATCCTAGTAAGTATGATAGGTATCATTATAGTCCTCATTTTACATATAAAGAACTAGAAATTGGCTTCCCTCAGGTCAAGTATTGTACATATACCAATAATTACTCCAAAACATCTGTGGGAACATTACATTGTAAGCCTAAGAAACTGAAGAATGGAATTGTGGGTATCATATTTCTTGTCATTAAGCAACATCTGTTTTATTTAGGAATACTATCAGTGAATTTATTTTTCTATCGTTGCTATATGTGAAATGGCTAATTTTTCCAGTTCCTGAAAGGACTCTATGTCTTACCAATATTAGGAATTGGGGGAATTATCTCCCAGGCAGCCTTCTCAAAATTCCTAAGGAGATAGTAATACAAATTGGACATAATTGCGTAGCCATGAGGCACTCTGAACAAAACCACAATCTAGATGCAGTCCCACAATCTGTATGCAGTCCAGCGTGACAGAATCCCCAGGTAGTGAACTCAGCCAGAGGTGGTCTCCAGGCCTGCCTAGTGCATACCCCAACACCTCTTGCTCCACTGTCTCCCTGTACTGTGCTGAGCTTTCTGCCCACAGAACCAGCTGTGATATTCAGTTGTCTCAAACTGTCTGTAGGAGAACCTTGTCACTTAGCAACTTTTCTACTTCTGCCTCTGGATTTGCTTGGTTCTGGCCTTTTGCTTTACAACTAAGTCTGTTCTAGGTATGTGGCTGAGGCTCCAGTTGAAGCCTTATTCTTGATTATTCTGCTCACACAGTCCCTTGCAACTTACCCAGACCTGCATCAGCCACCATGGCTGTCCAGGCATGAAGTTATTGTGGAAGCAAACATGATCCAATAATAATGATGACCTTGGGAGGAAACAAAGCAATCTAAATCTGAGAAGTTATTTTAGGATAAAGAAGTCTCTTGAAGGCTAACAAAAAAGATTCTGGGATGAAGGAAAACAGATGAAGTTAGAGAATTTTAAGAATGGCGGTTAGGAATATGTAGAAAGAAATTGGACCCGTGAGCCTATTCATTGGTAAACTATTAAGCCCTTAGTAAAGAGAAAATTCCATTTTGCATGAACTGACAATGTTAAGATTTTAATATAATGGAACTTCTGTTGAGAAACTTTTACCATATTTCAAGAAAAATACATTTCCTTTTGAGATGGCTTGTTGTGTTAATGTAAGAATGTCCATGTCTAGCATGAGGAGATAGTTGGGATCACTTTCTTCCAACCCTAAAATTTATTTAGTGATTCAACAAATAATTTCTGTTCATATACTGTGTGCCAAATACTGTGTAGGTCAGTGGGAATCCAGTAGTGAGCAAAGTCAGTTAAGATCTGGGCCTTCACAAAGCTTATCTTGCCTGACTGCCCTTACTGAGCAAGTAGCTATGTCCAAGTATACAGTTAGCACATTCCATAAAACTTATAGATCAGATGTTGGAAACTCAATACATATTTCTCAGTAACACAATAATAGTTTTCCTGGCCAGAATCAAGGTTTTTAACAACATATCCAATGTGGATTTATGTTACCACTATTTCAACTGCATTGGCATTGTTTTAATGGTAAAATTATTTGGAGTTCTAAATTGGAATGTTTCCAACCATTCCTGCTCAGCAGCGGTGACTCCACTGAAATTGGAATTTGCCATAGTGGTGCTGGTGGGACCATGGAAAAAGCTGGAATATGGTCCTTCCAGCGTAGGCATTCAATTGTTAGGGATTTCCAGGTACCAATTGACATTAATCACTGTGTAGTTTCTAAATCAGGGAATTAGAGGAGCTCTGATTTAGGCTTCGTCCCCCTCCCTCATGTGCCGATGATTCATGAGTCAAGTTCATGAATCAGAGAGACCTGCTGAAGCCTCTCCATGTCCTCAGCATCACCACAAAACCTGTGGCTTGAAATATGAAGGCACTTAAGATGTTTTGAATTATTTGAATTTCTATTAAAATTACAGACTGTGTACTGGAATTGTTTTTAAAGCTAAAAATATGGCCATGGAAAGTCCTTTTTCCTTTGGTTCTTCTGCATACCATAATTTAAGCGGAAACTAAGCTTTTGAAGATTAACAAGCAATGAAGAGAAACACATTTGCTTCCCAGAAGTAAAATTTTATTATTTTACTGTGCAGAAACACCCAAATAAATGTAATCTATTCATAGAAAAATATCCCATCTTGAAACAGTAGAGGAATGATGATGAGTCAGTAGGGTAGAGTCTCATTCAAGAGGAACTTTTGACTTTGTTTACTCATTTTTTTTAAAGCTAGAAACTCAAATGATGAGAGTTGGAGTCTTTCTAAATATTCTCAAGGAGGGCCAGAATGAGCTGTATAATTATTATATGGAAAATGGATAGACATTTATGTTGAGTTAGCTGTTGAAGACCAGATAGGTTGCAAAGGTGCTATCTCTCATCTGACCCTTTGGGGTGGGAACATTTGTACATTTCTGAACACTTGGAATGTTTCCTGTGGGCAGCTCAGCAGCAGCAGCAGGGGCAGGTCCTGCAGGTGGTGCGGCAGGGGGCAGGCTGGCAGTAGGGGGGCCGGCAGCAGGGCGCCTGCACACAGATGGGCTGGCAGCAGGTGGAAGCCCAGCAGCAGGGGCGGCACACAATGGCCGTGCAGGATGTGGGGCAGCAGGTGATGGGACAGCAGCAGCCCTCCTGCACACCACAGGGCTCACAGCAGACACGGTGGCGACAGAACACAGCCGTGCAGGATATGGGGCAGCAGGCAATAGGCTGGCAGCAGCCCTCCTGCAGGCCACAGGGGTCACAGCAGATGGGACGGCGGCAGGGCTCACAGATGGGGCGCGTGCAGCGGGGCACACAGGTCACGGGGCGGCACACGGTGGTCTGGCAGCAGCAGGGGCGGCAGCAGCAGGGGTCTCGGCAGCAGCAGGGCTGGCAGCAGCAGGGCTGGCAGCAGCCTCCCCCACAGCAGGAGCCAGTCATGGTGGTGTCTGGGGTGGAATGGGTTGGACTGGTGAGAGGAGTTGGGTGTTCTCAGGTGTAAATATCTTCCTCCCCCACGGGGCCCTTTATATATCCTGGCCTGGAGCTGGTGGCCGCCAGGACACAGGGTCATTTCCTAAAGCTGTGGTCGCCCATTGAAATGAGCACTCCAGATTGGTGGATCCCATTGCTGAGGCAGCAATTCCAATATCACTGAAGGATGCTTTCCTTTCTTCCTGCTTTTCCCCTTGTAATGAATACTTGATGGTTTATAGCTTTAGAAAATTAGTCATTGAATAGCCAGTTTTTACAGTCCACGTGACAAGTTGGAGGATCCAGTGTTGCCACCATCACACTGTCTCTTGTTCACTATCCATGACCAAGTGTGAAACTATAATATTCACATGCCTGATTACTTGCAATGAGGCAAGAATTCCTTAAAAACCCCAAAACAAAACCAAAAAACTAAAACGGCTCATAAAAGATGTGTGCCAATTCTGCTATGGAAAGAATGGTGCAGTGCTTCAGTAAAACAACATGTTGCTTCTCCATGTTTATATGGATATAACCACCCAAACCACGAGAGTGGTATGGTTATAGGCCATTAGCGCTGGACTATTACTCACAGTGACTTATGAGACACTAACTCTGTAAACAGTGTTATACTCCTGGGGTGATGGAGAGGGAAAGGAAGGAAAAATAAGTTCTAAGTAGTGTCTGGTCACACAGTAATTACACATTTTAGGAAGGCAGGACAAAGGCAGATAAAGCAATTGAAGAAGAACTCTTCACAGGACAATAAGGCCAAAATAAATGTGGATTTTATGGATTTTGTGTCTGATATGGATTTAGAAATGAAATTTAAGTTGAGGTATTTCTTTTTATGTGTGACATAAGCATGTGTATTGAGTCCTTCAAAGTATATTGAAAATATTTGTAAAGGAATCAATTATATTTCAGTAGTAGATGCTTAGGTTTGTTGTCTAAGGTTTTTGTTCCTCATGAAGGATGAAATTGGGCTTCTGAAAAGGCTAGGACAGTGGTCAGCAAACTCATTAGTGAACAGGGCCAAATATCAACAGAACAACGATTGACATTTCTTTTGAGAGCCAAATTTTTAAAACTTAAATGTCTTCTAACACCACTTCTTCAAAATAGACTCGCCCAGACCATGGTATTTTGTGGAAGAGCCACACGTAAGGGGCCAAAGAGCTGCAGGTGGCTCGCGAGCTGCGGTTTGTCGACCACGAGGCTAGAGGAATTAAGGGAACTGATGACTGATAACATAGCTTTGTCTTTTTTAGCCCCAGCTAAGGAAAATGGGAGTATAGAAAATGAATGTATAGTTGGAAGGTAGGTTAAAGATAACATTGTCCAAGGGATGCTGATGGCTGTCAGACGGAATTTGTCTCCAAATTATGTTTGGTTTGATTTAACCATTTTATACACTCTTTGGTCCACCAGGGTTCCAGACCTTGAAGGCCTTTGACTTTTTGGATCATCGTACTCCATCACAGTTGTCGGAAGGCCAGATTTGTGACATGATTTCTCAGACTCACTCAGATAAGAGAGTAGCAAAGTTTTAACAATACCAGGGGCCTTTGTGGAGTATAAACACTGTAATTTTAAAAGCTGGCGTGGCTCAGTGGTTGAGCATTAACCTATGAACCAGAATGTCATGGTACGTTTCTTAGTCAGGTCATGTACTCGGATAGGAGGCTCGATGTCCAGTAGGGGGCATTCAAGAAGCCACCTATCAAAGATTCTCTCTCTTCATGGATGTTTCTCTCTCTCCCTCTGCCTTCCTCTCTGAAACAACAAAACAAAACAAACACTGATGATTGACTCCTAATCTTTGCCCAATTCTGAGTCACTTCAAAGTAGTGAAAATGTACTAGTAGTTATCAGAAATTTTACCCCATATAGTGAAATAAGAACTTGCTTGATTTATGGTTTAGCACATTGTTATCTGGCTTAGACTATATACAGAGATCCAAATATTAGCAACAGGAATACATCTGTTATTTTATTCACTGTGTTTTGTACTTTTAACAGAAAAAAATGTATAGTAATAAGAAATCTTGCATTTTAAAATTACAGACTGTCAGAAACTTGCCTGAGTGAAGTCACCGCTGTACGAACCCATTATTCCTGACCAGGATCTTAGTCACAGAGCAACAGCCTTCGTATCCAACCCAGAGGCAGAATTTCAGGTAAGAGATCTTCAGACACGACATGGGCATTTATCTTAGCTCCACAGGATCTGAAGGCCTTTGGCTTTGTGGACCATTGTACTCCATCACAGTTGTCGGAAGGCCAGATCTGTGACATGATTCCTCAGAGTCACACAGATAAGAGAGTGGCAAAGTTTTAACAATACCACAGGGCTTTTCACGGGCCAGTCCTGATGCTCATTCTTTTGCACAAAGCCTTCTGCTTTGAGCAGAGCAAAACACCATTTCATGTAACTTCACCGACATCCATTATTTCTCAAAATCCTACAGAAACCTTTCCTCCTCTTTTATTCGGTGACCCTGTACTGTGTGGTTTCCTTCACTATAGCACATTAATGGGCCTAAGCTTATGGGATAAAAGATGTGTCCCTGGTCTTCATCATGGGGGCTTTTTGTGTCATATCATTCAAATGACAGGTTCTGCAAGAACATAATTACCAGACTGGGAGCAAGTAAATGTTAATTGTTGTGGTGATCAATCCTAGGATATTTCATGGTTGGATTGAAAAAGAACGTAGTATTGATGATTTCTAGTGATGCTGACCTGTGCCCTCATCTTAATAGTTTTCTAAGCTGTGTTTTGGTAGGAACTAGTTGTGGGACCACTGGATGTTAGGACATTTTAAACTTATGAAAACATAACACTGCCCTCCAAAGTGATCTTTAAAATATATTCAAATCATAAGAGTTAGAAATGGGTATGAGGAGGATTAACGGGGAGGGATGGGAGGAGGATGGGGAAGACAAAGAAGGATTCAGATCATTCCTCCATCCCCAGCAGATGTGTGACTTAGAGCAAGTGCTTACACCCCGCCAGCCCCAGTTTCCTCATCTGTGAAATGGCAAGACTTCACAGGCCAGGTTTATCATAAAATCTACACAAATGTGAAAGACGGAAGAGATGATTATCATTCATTGAGAAGAGAAAACATTTTAGTTGGAAAAGACAGGAAACTCTAGATGATCAGGGAACTGGTGGGATTCATTTCTGGAATTTAAGGAAGAAATATATCTTCTAAGTGGTTTAGATATTCATCTGCCTAAAGCCAGGGAAAGCTAAACCAGGTCATCTTTTGGCATCTCTTATAGCTTGGGGTTGATTCCTTTGGGTGCTTCAGGGTGAGAGAAAAGTCTGTCTGATGCATGTATTTTCCTCGACTCTTTTTTGCTCCCAATGCTAAGCCCCTCTTTGCTAATCCTGTAATCTAGGATTCTTTCCTGTGGACTTGTAGGTCAGCTTTTAAAGGACCCTTTCATTACAAGACAGTCTCGATCTGATGATGAAGTTTTTGGTCTTCTCTATTATATTTATTAGAAAATTTATTTCTGCCACTGAATGTAGCCTATTCTGAAAAAAAAAAGCCTTCCCTGAATACTTTCCCACCCTCCATGACATGATATATAATAAATATCACATATTTTGATCCCATATGATATAGTGATGCTCATATTTGCAACAAGGAATATAAATGAACTAGAGGCCCAGTGCATGAATTCATGCACCAGTGAGGTTCCTTGGGCTGGCCTGTGGGATCAGGCTGAAACTGGCTCTCCGACATTCCCCAAGGGGTCCTGGATTGTGAGCGGTTGCAGGCCAGGGTGCATGATCCAAGCCAGGGAGAGACATTGGGCAGCTTGGGAGGGACCATGAGAAGGACCGTGGGAGGACTCCAGGGCATGTCGCTCCAGTCCTGATCAGCTGGGCCCCAGCAACAAGCTAACCTACCAGTTGGAGCATCTGCTCCCTGGTGGTCAGTGGTTGAGTTCCCTTAGCATATAATTAGCATATTACTCTTTTATTGGTTGAAGAGCCAACTGGTCAACCAGACACTTAGTATATTAAGCTTTTATTATATAGGATGGTACTAGTGCTTATTGTGTGCCAGGCACTTACATACAAAAAGTCTTTTGACTTTCCCAGCAATCTACATTGATTAACATTAATTTTCCTGTTTTGCAGATGAGGAAACCTGAGAAGGGGGGGTGGGGAGGAAATTAAGTTATGCTGATGCTTAAGTAAATATCTACATTTAGTTTGATTCAACAAAGAGAATCTATTCTAAACATTGAATTCAATGCTGAGAGCCAAATGAATAAACTGTTTGTTTTTTTTCCTTGGAGGAAGAGAAGTAGATAATCTTAATGCAATGCCTTATGGGGAAGGAGATAAGTATGGGATCACAGGATGCTATTAGTATATGTTAAGGCACATAACCTAGCGTGTGGTGTGTGTGTGTGTGTGTGTGTGTGTGTGTGTGTGTGTGTGTGTGGTTGAGGGGTTAGGAGAAGCCTGAGTTGAACTTGGAAATGGATCAGGGTTAGGTAAGTGAAGAAGGTGGAGGGGAGAGGCAGGTGAAAAATGAAAGAACATGATAAAAGCAAAGACAAATGGAACAGCATGGCATGTGTTAGTTACTGTGAGAAATTTAGCGTTGCTTAGTGAAACTTAGTGAGGAGTGTTAAGGCATGAACCTCGAGACAGGGACAAAGGACAGGCATGGAGGGCATAGTGTGCATAGATTTCCTACCCATGTGAGCAGCCCAAGGACTAGCCTGGCCGTCCTGTACCCCTGCTCAAGACTCATACCAGGATTCCTAAAACCCCTCTTTCTTTCCCTCTCCTGTCTTCCTCATCCTGTCTGTCTCTTCTTTCTTCTTCCTCTTCACTCCCCTTTCTGTTCATCGTCTGCTCATCTGGTACACTAATAAATGAATCAGGTAGCCCTGAGGTTTGCAGGAAAAATTAGTTTATTAAAAACAAGTGAACAGCACATTACAAATGATGCCTGGAGGCTTTGAGCAGTCTCCAGAGTTCAGGATGGGTTTGCCACATCCACTCAGGGACTTTTAAAGGTGGGCTTGCCATCCATGGTGACTTCTGCTGACGGAGACACTGGGAATTTGGCTGAGACTGGAGATAGAGATCTGCTCATGTGTCCAAATGTTAGGATATAAAAATGATGATTGTCACTTTATGGAAAAACCTGTTTTTCTTTCAATTTGATTAAAATGTAGAATAGGTGCTTAGGCTTCTGTGAATTGATCATGGAATTTCAGCAGCAGCAGGAGGGGCAGGTCCTGCAGGTGGTGCGGCAGGGGGCAGGCTGGCAGCAGGGGGGCCGGCAGCAGGGCGCCTGCACACAGATGGGCTGGCAGCAGGTGGAGGCCCAGCAGCAGGGGCGGCACACAATGGCCGTGCAGGACGTGGGGCAGCAGGCGATGGGGCGGCAGCAGCCCTCCTGCAGGCCACAGGGGTCACAGCAGATGGGGCGGCGGCAGGGCTCACAGATGGGGCGCGTGCAGCGGGGCACGCAGGTCACGGGGCGGCACACAGTGGTCTGGCAGCAGCAGGGGCGGCAGCAGCAGGGGTCTCGGCAGCAGCAGGGCTGGCAGCAGCAGGGCTGGCAGCAGCAGGGCTGGCAGCAGCCTTCCCCACAGCTGGAGCAGGTGGAGCCACAGCAGGAGCCGGTCATAGTGGTGTCTGGGGCTGGGATGGGCTGGACTGGTGAGAGGAGTTGGGTGTTCTCAGGTGTGAATGTCTTCCTCCCCCACAGGGTCCTTTATATACCCTAGCCTGGTGCTGATGGCACCAGGTCACAGGGCCACACCCTGGTTAATTTCCTGGCCAATTAAGTGAGGATTTAGCATTGACTAATGGTGCTTTTGGTTACCCTCTCCTCATACCTGTACATGCATCCACACCACAAATGTTTTTCTTTTTTTCTGTATTGTTTATTCTCACCAAATCTAGGCATTGGATTAGATTATGATGAATTTCCTTGTGAATATTTTTAAAATAAAGAGAAAAGAATGTATTAAAAAAAAACAACAGTATAGTTTCTAATCGCTCTGTCCTGTGGCCCTAAAGTTAGTATTTTATTCATGGACTTCAAAGGCTCTCATAATTACTCCCCACACAGTGACTTGCCTTCTCTACACACATGCACGTGACAGTAACAGGTTAATAGCAACACCCATGCCAACCAACAGTCATCTGCTTCCCAGATGTCTCTTTCCACCACTCTCTGAAAGGCAGGTTTTCACATGAAGAGAGACCACTGGATCTCTGCCACCCTGGTTTAGTAACTTCTCTCACCCCTGGGCTGTCCTACCGTGATTGTAATGACTCCACAGTCACTTGGAATGCCACTCTCATCCTTCCAACCCCAAATAAACATCTGCCTGGATTGCAAAACCCTCACCGAGGATCTGTTGCAATTTTTGTCTTTGTCATTTATTAGGGATTACTCATTGCATGTGTGCAATCCAGGAAGAGACTGTGGAGGATATGTAGATCTATCCCTTCATTTGACAGGAGGAGTTACGGTCACACGGTTAGGTCTGGGATCCAGGTCTTCTCATTCCTCAATAAGCAGCCTCCATGAGATTTATGTTGACCAGGCTCCACCCGAGTCTTAGGATGGAAGAGAGACCGACTCAAGCCTTGAAGTAAGTAGTGTTGTTAAAAGTGATAAGGGAAGGTTATTAGGGAAATGCTTTACTCCATGACAGCTAGTCAGACCTGTGCATGAGCACAGACTTTTTTATCTGAGGATCAGCAGATCTGGACTGTGGGATGTGGGGTGTAGGGTGGGGGTCACTTTTTTTCTGTATGTCAGTCTCAAAGTGTAGACTAGTTTCCCTTGGGAACTCGTCTTGGCACGGTGAGAGAGGCATGTGCTTGTTTCATTCCTTCTATTGTCATTTATCTGTACCTTCACCCTACATCTTACTTTACAATGAGTGGAGTAAATTTACTTCTTACCAGTGGAGTAGATCAACACTTTTATTTGGATTTGAGTTAAAAAAAAAAGAAAGAAAAAGAAATCTTTCCAGTCAAACCCACTTATTCTAAATGAAAAAAGGAGGGCCAAGAGCTTTCAAACCACCAATCCAATGCTTTTTAATAGTCATTTGTCCTAAATTTACCTTCTCTGCTTCAAGCAGAAGGCTTTTTGTTCTTGTCATGGGTAATTAGTTCTATTTTTGCTTTGATGATGTTCTGGAAGATATAGATGTGAATTATACTAAGTTCATTCTCTGTATTTCTTATGCCAAGATTTTCTCTTGGCTTCTTTATAATATTAGCTGATTTTATTTTTTACTGTATAGATTAAATAATTCTCTAAGATTATGTGACTAGAATTACATTCACTATTCTAGGCAAAGTCATATTATAATATGAGGATAATATTTTCTGATTTGTTTAAAAATAGCCTTCTTACATAAGTTCAACCTTCTGTGGCCATTTTTGGCCTCAGCAATCCTTTGAACTGATATAATATACCATAGTTTTACAAGGAATTTTCTTTTATTTTTTTAACGAAGCTCTTTACTGGAATCTTACACCCATTTCCCTTTAAGTGCAGTAATGCTTTGTTTGCTGATATTGGTTATCAACTTCCATTTTTCTTCCCACTATGTAAGAACTTCAAGTTATGATTATATTCCAGGGACCTTATCAGTCATCTTAACAATTGAGTTAGATATTAAAAATCTCATTAAATATTTGATTAAATCAAAAGACTTTAAAGTTTCAATAGTCTTAATTTGTTGATTAAAAGGAAGCAAAAATATTATATATTTGCCTCTTGACATTTTTCTTTTATTTTAAAAAATACTTTTTGCCTTTTTTTTTTTTTTTTTTTTTTTTTACCATATCATATATCGGGTGTGTAAGGGCTATACCATCTCTGTCATTACAATGAGTTGATAAGAAATTCTCCCAACCCAGGAGCAACTGATGTCAGCTGGGGTCATTTTGCAATCTGGAAGTTCTCGTTTTTTCTTTGTCTTACATATAAAGAGTTGTCATTACATGTAGCCCCATCTCTGCCAATAATTGTAGCTAAAATTTGCTGATTGTAATGCATTCACATTAGGATCAAACGCTTTTACTTAGTATTCAGATGAATGTATTCTTTTACTTAGTATTCAGAGAAGAAAGGGATCCTCAAGACTGACATTGGCTTGACGGAACTTCCCCACATGGGCCAGCAGTGTCTTATAGCTCTTCCCACCAAGAGATAGATTCTACTTCTCTATTCTTTGCTTCTGGTTTGGCCTAATGACCTATTTTGACCAATAGAACATGGTGGATGAGTTGTATAAGTTCTGAAATTTAAGCCTCAAGAAGCCTTGAAACTTTAAAGTGATTTTTCAACATGTGTTATTCTTTCCATATCTGCCTAGTTACTGAGTAAAATGATCATAAAAACAATAGAGAACAAAACAATGCCAATGAATTCTTATGTGAATAAAAAAGTTTATTAGAAAACAGAGAAACAACAAAACATGAGAAATTCCCTCTAGGAGAATATACAGTGTATAAATGGAGCCCAGGTCTGAGAGTGTCAAATCGGTGTCACTCAAGGGCTGTAGATAAGGTCCATCTTGCTGGAAGGATAATCTAGAGCCCCCAAAGGAAGATAAGGAAGAATGAGAAATTTAGAGGATTGGGATAATTTCTTATCTGGTGGATTACGAATTATTACAGAGTTGGTCAGTATCAAAAGGAAAAGATAGCAAGGGAGTTTTAAATGAACCAGAATGTGCTCACAGAGGCAATGGGACAGTGGTGAGCTCATTGGAATCATGAAGCTCAGTAGATGACCTGAGCCAGATCCCATGTGTCCTCAGGGCCATCACAAGAAGTGTGTACATCTGTGCAGACAGAAGTAAATAGAGATGATGGTTACAGAGAAGGGGCTCAGCAGTCACAGACGGCACAGCACATGGGGCGGGGGCAGGTGGAGATGACACAGGTGGGGCGATAGCAGTTGGTGTGGCAGGAGACCTGGCCACAGACTGGGCGGAAGCAGCAGCAGGGGCAGCAGCAGGGTCGGCAGCAGCAGGAGCCACAGCAAGAGGGGCGGCAGCAGCTGGAGATGCAGCAGGTGGGGCGGCAGCAGCAGGAGCCACAGCAGGAGGGGCGGCAGCAGCTAGAGTTGCAGCAGATAGGCCTGCAGCAACTGGAGCCACAGCAGGAGCCACAGCAGGTGGGGCGGCAGCAGGTGGTCTGGCAGCAGCCTTGGCCACAGCCCTGGTCAGAGCAGACGGAGCCACAACAGGACATGGTGTCAGAGGGTGGAGGTTCTGGGTGAGTTTCCAGGAGAGTGAGGTTCTTGTGTTTGGGGGTCTCCTTGGCCCACACCTCCTTTTATACCCTGCTGAAGAGTTGCTCTCCCTATGTCATTATTTCCTTATTGTTATTTACCCCACTAGAGAGCTTAATTATTTAATTTCATAATTGTGTGTTTCTAGTGAAGTACTCCAAAAATGGGAAGAAATAGCACATTTCCCTTTTCTGGTAAGTTTCTGTGTTCTAATTAAAAGACTTATCACATTTTTTTCTTAATGGGTGTCACCTTTGTTTCTGACAGATGCAGTGACTTTTACAAGGCACTTGTCACATGACTCTGACATTTTGTTTTTGAATGGGACATTTCCTCCTATCTGTACACTGCTCCATAAAAATCATGGAGAATGGTTCTTATAATGCTGATCTATCTTTTGTCAGCAAAGATGAGAGTAACGCGTGCTGGTCAGGGGAATAAGAAAAATCAATAAGGAGGATAACTGATCTGTGTGGGCATCTTAAAGGGTCAGGGAAAATAGCTGGACACCAAGGAAGTTTCGAATTCCGTGTCAGATTTTATTTCACTGTTTCAAGCTGAGATTCTTAGCACTGGATCTGTTGCATATTTTTCACAATAGGACAGTAACGGTAGGAAATTTTAAATTTATCTTTTGATTATTAAACCTTCAAAGTGGATATTCTATTACAGAAGCATTTGTTATATAAACAATATTTATAATTATTAGGCTTTCCGCACCATGCTTCCATGACAAAACTGAGGCTGTCTTACTTTGGGCACATCAAGAGAAGGCAGGCTTCTTTGGAAAATGCAGTAATGCAGAGGGAAATAGAAGGCATCAGGGAAAGAGGAAGAAAATATGAGGTGGATTGACTCCATAGGGTTTGGGATGGGAATGGGAGGATGAGGACAATTGTGATATCATAATCAATAAAAATAAATAAATAAATAAACCATAGGAATGAGTCTATAGGAGCTGAGCAGGGCTATTGAGGACAGGACACTGTGGACATCGCTCATTCACAGGGTCACCAGGGGTCAGAGCTGACTCAACAGCATGGAATACACACACATATCCAAGACATTCTGTTGAGTACTATGGGGGCATGATAAAAACCCCTCATAATCTTTCCTGTGTAAGAAAAAGACAATCAAGGTACATGCCCCTGACCAGTTTGGCTCAATGGATAGAACGTCGGCCTGCAGAGTCAAGGGTCCCAGGTTCCATTCCGGTCTGGGGCATGTACCTTGATTGTGGGCACATACCCCATGGGGAGTGTGCAGGGGGCAGCTGATCAATGTTTCTCTTTCATCGATGTTTCTAACTCTCTCCCTCTCCCTTCCTCTCTGTAAAAAAATCAATAAAATATATTAAAAAAAGAATAAGACATGTATGGTGAACAGAGTTTGGCATCAATTAAAATAATGGGACTTATTTTAATGAATAAAAATACAGTATGTGGGTAAATAAAGGTGGAGAAAATATTAATATCTGTCACTGTGAAGTATTCACTCTGAACCAGACATGCTGATTATCCAATATTTATTTTTAACCTTTAATGCAACCATATACTAGTAAAGCAGCAGTCAGCAACTGGTGGTCCATGAGTGGTCTGTCAGGTCTGAAAGGTTGGCAACCGCTGATATAAAGTACTATGTAGTCATGTTACTCTCTTAGTGGAATAGGCAAAAGAAACCCATAGAAAGTATGAGAAAAATACTTTTGTAAGTCCAGCCGGCATGGCTCAATGGTTGAGCATCAACCTATGAACCAAGATATCACAGTTCCTAGTCAGAGTATATGCCAGAATTGCAAGCTCAATTCCCAGAGGGAGGCATGCAGGAGGCAGCTAGTAAATGATTCTCTCTCATCACTGATGTTTCTATTTTTCTTTCCCTTTCCCTCTCTGAGATCAATTGAAAACAAACAAACAAACAAAAACACACACACAAAACTTCTGTAAGGTTAAACAGAAAGTAAGCTTGTCTTAATCTTAGAGCAGCCAAGGACGGTGCCAAGAGTAACACTTCCAAGCCTTTGCTGAAGGAAGCTGTCTCATCACTCCGAAATGTTTCTTCTTTCTTGTCAGCTCTTCTGACTCCCATTCATCAGTCAGAAACCCAGCTGACAATGCCTCCTCCTCAATGATACTCTCTCTGAAAATCTGCCCCATGCATGTGTGATTGTCCCCTGCATTGTGCCCCTAACTCTCTGTATCAGATGCTTGCTTCTGTCTCTCCCCCAGTTGCAATGCGGATGCCCTGAGGCTGTGAGCTATGACATTTACTTTGTCGCATCATGTTTCAAACAGGGCTGGGGCAGAGGACACTAGTCACCAATGTCTGTTGAGTAAACAAAGGCTTTTGATGGCATAGGAGCATGTGATGGTCCTTTTAAAATAGTAACTTTTGACTATTGGAGAAAAGAGGGAGAAACATTCCAAAGGGATCATAGTTACACTCGAGGAAAATCACATCTATTTATTTATGTATGTATTTATTAGCTGCATATTATTGGTGAATAAAGAATCCCAAAAGATGGTGTTTTAAAAGATCACATTTTATGTTCAATTTTTGTAAACCTATCTCATTAAAGTCAAGGGTGCACCATGACTTTAGTTGCATTTTCTACTCAAAAACACCAGCAAATGATTAGTTGATTTGCTTAAGATTAAAAAGGTCTCTAGAGAACACTGGTGACCAATGACATTTGACTTCTGTTGGAGGTTGAATAGTCTCTGCTGTCTGTCCAACAGGTGCAGGCAAAATACAATTACCCAGGACCCACATATAAAACCTTTAAAAAAGGAGACTACAATCACATTTAATTTTCATTGCCCAGAATCAAGAGGTTTATTTTGGTATAAGAAGAATCTTTGCAAAGGAGTACAAGAAAAAGGCTTCATTGGACTTCCATGTCAGAAGACTTAGAATCTGTGGCCCCACAAGTGATGGAGACAATGTTCACAATCCTTAAGCATGAAGGATGGATGTCTTGGAGACAAAGGGAGAGATGTTGGGAGAACTTAATTCATTAGGAGGTTCTGAATGAAGGAAGGGAGTTTGGACAGAAATTGGGATGTAAGCAGAGAATTAGTAGGGCTGGGGTTTGCTATGGGACCCAAGAGATCAGTTACACATGTTTTGAAAAGCAGGGTCTGCATCTCTGGAGAGGGAGGCAAAGAGGAAGTGATGTGTTCAAATCAGAGATTCAGCAGTCACAGACGGCACAGCACATGGGGCGGGGGCAGGTGGAGATGACACAGGTGGGGCGATAGCAGTTGGTGTGGCAGGAGACCTGGCCACAGACTGGGCGGAGGCAGCAGCAGGGGCAGCAGCAGGGCCGGCAGCAGCTGGAGCCACAGCAAGAACCACAGCAAGAGGGGCGGCAGCAGCTAGAAATGCAGCAGCTGGGACGGCAGCAGGGCCGGCAGCAGCAAGAGCCACAGCAAGAGGGGCGGCAGCAGCTAGAGATGCAGCAGGTGGGGCGGCAGCAGCAGGAGCCACAGCAGCTGGATCCACAACAGGACATGGTGTCGGAGGGTAGAGGTTCTGGGTGAGTTTCCAGGAGAGTGAGGTTCTCGAGTGAGCTCTCTCCTTGCCCTCTGTTGCTTTTATACCCTGCTAGGGCTGCGGTGCCCATGTGCAGGACCCTTCTTGTTGTTGTTTGTCCTGGCTGAAAATCAGTTCGTTTTAGTAAATTGGATAATTGTGTTTACCTGATAAATGTTCCTATTTATAGGAACAGCACCATTTCCTTCTCCTGTGGTATAATGAGCTGTCCAGTTTGGTAAATGCCAGGTGAATCAGCACCCATATTTCTCTGTCCCATGTGTTTTCTCAAGTAGACCCATTACATGACACCACTTTATTGGATTTCACAAGGGTTAATTTTTAATTTCTCCATTTGACTCCAGAATAATATATTGAAAATGGATTTATGATGCTAGATCTCTGCTATCAAAGAGCAAATCATATCATATACTGGTAGTAAAATAGGGTGGAAGACCCATCTTGAAAAAGGGTGGGGGCAGTTATTTGTGTGCAATTAAGTATACCGTGATTCCTTTGGATTTCTAGAATTGTCAGGTATGAAGGATCGAAACAAAGTTCCTATCTGTTTTTTCTTATTGAATCTATTTGATTTGAAACAGTTTGAAAATATGGCAGACCACCTCTCACATGTTAGATTGTAAAAAATTCAAAATTTGTCAACCTTCTCTGATAGTGAGACTAAGTAAAAACAGGCACGCTTCCACTTTTCTCAGGAAGATTTGACAGTAGGGAGCAGCTCCAGGCCATACCCATCTTCAGTCCCAGGACCTGCTCCCTAATTGGAATTATGAGGCCCAGTTTAGTTGAGTGACATCAGCCCCACTCCATGTGCCCCAATGGTCCACACAAAAGGAGGGTCTGCATCTGTGAGGACAGAAGTAAATGGAGATGGTGGTTACAGAGCAGGGGGCTCAACAGCAAGAGGAGGCACAGCTTGGGGGTGGGGTGGGGGCAGGTACAGATGACACAGGTGGGGCAATGGCAAGTGGTGCAACAGGAGACCTGGCCACAGACTAGGTGGAGGCAGCAGCAGGGGGGACAGCAGCTGGAGCCACAGCAGGAGGGGCGGCAGCTGGGAGGGCAGCAGGTGGTCCTGCAGCAAGTGGTCTAGCAGCAGCCTTGGCCACAGCCCTGGTCAGAGCAGCCAGAGCCACACAGGAGCTGACCATGGTGTCCGAGGATGGAGGTTTTGATGTTGGTAGGAGAGTGAACAGAGAATTTAGAAGTCACTCTGCTGTATGTTCTCTTTCATACTGTGCCGAGGAACTGTGTCCAGGTCCTGGACCATTTTCTAGTTTATTTTTTTAAATAAATATTACTCTAAAATTAGAGCATCATGTTTTTCTGGTTAAAGATTTTTAAGATGAAGAAAAAGATGATTTCTCTTTTCTAATGTGTTAAGAGTTTCCAATCTGGCCTTTCTCAGAATCATCTTTCCTACTTTCTTCTTGGTCAAGTAGGGCCATCACATGATTCAGTGATCTGTATATCATCCCATGATGCTATTTGGATCAATTATTCCCATGATGTTGAGATCTCTTTGATGTTAAAAGAGAGGGACTAGAAGGAAAAAGGCTCTCCTTTGTGAGTCACCTGTGTGCAATGAGGAAGACAGCCTATCTGTGAGACACGGATGCTCATTAGATAGTGGACTCTCTGGCTGCCCCCAAATATGTACTGAGTACTACTTCCTGCATTCAATTGGAAACCGTTGCCAATGACTCAATTGTTTTTAAATATTAAAAGATACTCTCACTCAATATGGAGCAGCGTAAGCACCAACATGAATAATAGCAGTAATGGATTTTAACTCATTAAATAAAATAAAAATCCATGACTCCATAGTGAGACTAATTAAATAAAAAAATATTTTGAAAGGAAGATGAGACAATTATCTATGACAGTATAATATCAACTAATAAATGTAGAAGAATAAAAATAGAGTTACCAAATCATCACTTACAACCCTCATAATAAAGCTTGATTCAAGTAAATATTACCAGTGGATGCTATAACTGTTGGGTTAAAGTTGGACAGATAATAGGCTATTTGCACACTTTCAAACTAGTTCTCCATCAATTATTTATTCATTTCAAAGGAAGACATACTAACTGTGCTGTAGAGAAACTTGAGAGCATAATCTTCACCATGGGATCAAGGGCACAAATGACAGTGTCATTTACATGTTAGATGTATGTTAGGTAATAGTAATGTATCAACATTTCATTTGCTAACTAAACTGTGGTTATGCAAAAAAAAAAATGTTCTTAGTCTTAGGATATAAATCTATCTATATCTAAAGCAGATCATTATCTATCTACTTACCTGCCTATTCATATTTCTCTATTGGAGAGAAACAAAATGTGGCAAAAAAGTTGAATCAGGGTAAAGGCTAATGGTATAAAGGAGTTATTTGGCACAGTTCTGTATATTTGAAAATGTTCAAAAATGAAAAGTAAAATATATCAAAGGGGATTGGGATTGAAAATATTTTTTTCTGCAGTGTTAGCATATTAAAAATAAGTACTCTGTGTCTTTTGGGGGAAATAAAGTATTTGACACATTTTACTTTGTAGGAGCCTCTAGTCCAAGATCCCTTTCTTATATTTCTAACCAATGCAGTAAACTTTCTCCCAAAAGAGAACTATTTTGTTGTTAATAGATGGAGCTGACATTAGAGAAGCTGAGAGTGTAATTAATTGGGTTGCATGAGGGATGTATAAACCTTGAGGAGGACTCTCTAGTTTTCCAAGAAAAAGAGACAGAGGTAAAATGATGGATATGGGGAGAGGAAGGAAGAATGAGAGAGAAAGAGGGAAGGAGAATGAAGGTAACTAAGAGAGGAGTGGAAAGATATGCTCTTAACATTTAAGAAAGGTTTGCTATGGGATATAATCCCACACAGTTTAAATAAAAATCTTCATTATTCTTTAATGCTTTTGGAGTCATCTATGTATTGTTATTATTTCTGGGCTTGTTTGTTTGCTTTTAATGTTAATACATGTTAGGGTTTTCCTGAAGGTGAGAACAAGAATTGCAAAACCTGATTCAATTGTGTGTTGGATATAATTTCCCTGGAAATGAGGACAATCATCACAAAATAAGAAACACAAGAACAATGTATTTCTAAGCCAAGAAAATAGAGCTTTATTTAGAAGCAACAATAAGATACTGAGGCATCCCTCTTAAAGGAAATATAAGGTAGGGCCCTTTATGTTTTCAGATCTGAGGCTGTGACATCAGTGGCCCTACAGGCCCTACAGGAATTTCCATATTTTGGACAGGATGACCTGGAACCCAGAAATCAAAAAATCAGATACAGAATGTGCATGAATCTAAAATTTGCTTCTTATAAATGCCACCTTATTTCATCCTCTGGATCCACATCAGAGAAAAGTCAACTAAAGAGAAAGTTTGGCCGGAGGCCAGGATATGGACACAGAGTTGAAGGGAATGGGTAGTCCTACGGCATCTCTGAGGTGCACAGGGTCTGCTTCTGTGATGAGCAAGATGCAGGAGAGAGAGTGGGTGCAGGATGGTGCTCAGCAGTCACAGATGGCACAGCACATGGGGCGGGGGCAGGTGGAGATGACACAGGTGGGGCGATAGCAGTTGGTGTGGCAGGAGACCTGGCCACAGACTGGGCGGAGGCAGCAGCAGGGGCAGCAGCAGGGCCGGCAGCAGCTGGAGCCACAGCAAGAGGGGCAGCAGCAGCTAGAAATGCAGCAGCTGGGGCGGCAGCAGCAGGAGCCACAGCAGGAGGGGCGGCAGCAGCTAGTGGTGCAGCAGGTAGGCCTGCAGCAGCTGGAGCCACAGCAGCTGGAGCCACAGCAGCTGGAGCCACAGCAGGTGGGGCGGCAGCAGGTGGTCTGGCAGCAGCTGGGGCGGCAGCAGGTCTCCTGGCAGCAGCCTTGGCCACAGCCCTGGTCAGAGCAGACGGAGCCACGGGAGTTGACCATGGTGTCAGAGGGTGGAGGTTCTGGGTGGGTTTTCAGGAGAGTGTGGTTCTTGACTTTGGATGTCTTCTTACCACATGTCCCCTTTAATACCCAGCTGAGGGACTTCTATGATTATGAAAATACTATTTTCTTATTTTTGTTTATATGACTAAAAATGCATTTAGTAAATAATATCATTGCATTTTTTTCTAGTAAAAACTTCCATCATATAGAACACAGTCATTTCCCTTTTATCACGTTCCCCAGTGTTCCCACATGAATCACCTTTTGTGTTTTTCCCTTGTTTGCAGTGTCATAAGATTTCACTCCCTGGGTGGCATGTGATACAGGCGGGCCACTATCTCTTGTCTGAACCTCAACTTGACATAATTTTGGGAGCGCTTCTGATGGGGCTAGGTTTTCTGGTGGAAATTTTTATGTTTCCATCAGATGGAATGCTGATAGGAAAGAAGGAAGTCAGCTCATTTCTTAGAAAGAAGGAAACTTATGATTCATTGCATTTTCTGGGTGTCCTTTGAGCTAATGAAATTATTAGCACATTCCAAGCTGTGTTATGTTTCATCACCCTGATGCACTTTGAAACAGTTAGCAGTGACTCAGTGTTTTTAAATAGCAAAGAGTCATCTGGGATGATCACTTTTGATCTTTATAAATCTCTTCTCAGGTTGGGTAGAGTAATTGGGTCAAAATTTTTTTTATCAGCCTTTCAAATTATCAAGATATGTCATGGTTATACCTTATAGACATTTTCTTAAAATCTTTTTTAAACATCCTGAGCTAAAAGATCTAGTAGTTTTTATAATATCACTTATATTTAAGATTTTCTTAGATGAACTAAGAGGGGTAGAAATGCCATATTCATCATCAAACATGCATGTACACAGAAATTGCATCCATATGGTTTTGTAAGTAATGCCTATATGGTTATAGTCATAATAAGAGGTCTTCTTCAGTGTCACAGGCATTCAGGAAAAAATTAATTTGAGGAAAGAACAAATTACCCTCATGATATTCCCTCTTCCTGCAAAGTCTCTCGTGAGCTCAGCATTCTCCTAGTTACCTTTTATCAGGAAGTTCAAATGCCATCTTCTCCCATTGTTTTTCTTGGCCGATGCAGAGCAAAGTTCTTCCTCCATTGACCTTCTGTTGTGCTTTGTGTATGTGTGGGTTCTATAGCATTCTCTACCAGAAATGTATATATATATATAGATAACTTTCTCTAGAATGTCAACTCCATTAGGGCAGTGTTTTACCCATCTTTTTATCCCCCAGGCTTGAAATAGAGCACATTTCTTAGTTAGTGAAGAGTTTGTCTAGGTCATAAAAAATGACATACTAATGTTGAGAAAGTTATTCTCACATACAGACAGAAAAAGAATTAAAGAGAACAAACAAATGAGAGTAGGCATAACCCTGGCTCGTGATGATAAGAGGGATATATCTGGAAGGTCTATTTTAATAAATAGTGAGAGATATGGTGAGGTTGCTAGAATGTGGGAAGGATCGTGTGTAGCCTTGAATTCCATAATAAATGGTGAGGATCTATTAAAAGCATTTAGGCAAGAAGTAATGTAATGTATTTACTATATATGATTTATTTTAATTTTTGATATGCCTTTAGAAATGCCAAAATATACTTGGATTTCTGGGGAGAGATATTGTTTAAAAGGTTTAAGTGGGGCAGGGTGGGACGTGTGTTCACAGCATCAGGTGATAAAGTGAGTATAATAGCTATTTCAAAGGAAGAATCAGAAGAGAATTGGGCCAAAATGAAAATGGAGATATAAGGAGGGTTTTTCAGAAAAGTTATAAAAGATACCTTAACTATTTACTTATATATTTTATAACTACCTATGTGTATAATTTATGACCATGCCTCCTAAAAGCCAACAATTAAAAAATTTAAAGGATAAATAAGTGGTGCTCTAAATGTCCACCAACCAGATGCTGTCTGAACGCTGTTCTTCTGAGTTTTTTGAAGTCTTCATTACATAGTCATACTGATAACTAGGATGGAGAGCCAAGGTTTTTTCCCCCCGGATCATGTCTTAAGAAGCCAAATTAAATCACAGACTAGAAGATATAAGCAAAAGTGTGGGAAATTTATTACAAGCAGATTCAGACTTCCCGCACAGGGAGGGGGTCCAATAATGGGTTGCATGAAGCTTTATGATCTAGGCATATATATGGCTACAGGCCTGCTCTATATCTACTTCTGTCACCACCTGATTGATTCCCTCAGATGTTCTTGCCCAGCAACGGACCTGAACTTTCCCTGTTTCTACGCATCAGTTCACGTTATTGTTGCGGACCCTCCCTAGTTTCACATGTCTCCCGCTTTGAGTCCAGAAACATTTTATTGTTTCTGCATGGTTGGTTCCTGTGATTAGGCTTTGCTCAAACTGCCGTGTCTGCCCCTGCCTATGTTCCACCTGCCTTTGTTTCCCACTGAAGCCCTGCCCTGTCTGCCTGCGTGTCAAGCTAACCCTCTCACTAAGACCCTAACACCCAACTTATGTTGGGGTGAAGCCCATATTATATCAACCATATATAGACGGTGTGTTTCTTGACACCTTAGAACTTCCAAAAAATTTTTTTAGAAATAACATCAACTCTTAGTTACATTTGTTTTTTGGAAATATAACCCAGCTAATATATAAAACTCTGATATACATGAATTTTGAATTTAAAATGTCTTTAATGTACTTCAGATTATGAACCAAAAGTTATAGATCCTTATATTAGTACTAGAGACCCAGATGGTTGTTCTGCTTTTCGGTATAATTAGCATATTAGCTTTTTATTATATAGGATAAAAATGATATTATTGTATATATTGTGAGATGTTTTCTCAGCTAAGGAGGATCATTCTCACCTAAGTTTTGGTGATAAGAAACTGAGTCTCAAAGAAATATCCTGCACGTGTGCTCTTATGTAATACCAAACAAGGTGACAGAAGCCTAAGTCAGGAGAGTAAAACCATCAGGAAGATAGGAAACTTCAATAACATGAGAGGCTAAAATTATGAAGGAGTTTCCGTTTTGAAATACTAAAATTTTAGGACATGCTTAGAGAAAGGAATGGAGAGAGTGAGAATGAGAGAGAAAGAAACAAACATAGATATGAGAGAGAAATATCAGTAGACTACCTTCCCATATACTCCCCATCAAACCTGAAACTCAGGTATGTGCCCTGACTGGGAAATGAACAGGCAACCCTTTAGTGTATGGGACAGCGGCTCAACCAACTGAACCACTTCAACTGGGCATGAACATCTATTAATAAACAGTTTTAAAAGCCCAGCCTGGGTGGTTCAGTGGTTGAGCATCGACCCCTGAATCAAGAGGCCACTGGGATTCAATTCCCAGTCAGGGTGCCCAGGTTGTGGGCTCAATCCCCAGTAGGGCCATGCAGGAGGCAGCTGATCAATAATTCTCTCTCAATTGATGTTTTCTAGCTCTCTCTCTAAAATAAATAAATAAATAAATAAATAATTAAATAAATAAATAAATAAATAAATGTCAATAAAAACGTCTTTTCAAAAGTTTTAAAATTTTTTTATGGAGAAGTTGCTATGGATTTTAATACATTTTCAGAAATCTGTATTTAGAAGGTACACTTAGTATTCTGAGATGAAGTTTATTATTTGGAGAAAAAAGGAGGAAGGGGCAGAGGGAGGGAGGAAGAAGTACTCCAGCTAAGTAAAACACCCAAATGTATTAACACAACCGTAATGAGACATACTCAAGTACAGTGAAATCTAGATGTCTGTATGATGTTCAACTCAGTGGAGTTTTTAAGGGACATTTGAGACATATGCCAACACTTAAAGTTCTAGAGGACAGTGAAACCATTATACAAACTGTCTTTGTTGTTCTGTCAAAGAGAACATGATTCTAAGGTACTTTTCTCAACCAGGGTAGTGTTTCAGTAATAGTAACAATAAAAATGATATTTACTGAGAGCTTACATCATGCTCCTCACCTCTGTGCTAAGTGTATTTATTACATGGATTATGTCTTTGAACCTTTGAAGAGCATAATGTATTATCCCCATTTCACAGAGAAAAACCTGAGGCTTAAAGATATTAAATAACTTTGCATGTGTCATGCAAGGAATGCCCTGTGGAATTTTGATTCCAAGATAAGTATCTTTCCAAACTTACTGTCCTGCATTTCATGCAACATTTCTTAGTGTGAAGCCATAAAGACACACATGTACACACACATTCACACACACACATCAAATTAACAAATCAGCGGATTTCGATATCAGGGAAAATGGCTGTTTATTAAGAACATACGGAGACAATGTTATATGAGATCATCACATACAGAATATACTTTATGTGAGACAGTGTCAGTTCAAACATAGATGTATCCAGGCCTTGGTTAAAACCATTTGACAAATGTGTTTTCATTTATCATTTCCTGGAGTTGAACACCAACTCTGTATGCCAATTCAGAAGAATTGGCAGCTAAGAGTTCATTCCCCAGTCACTGGCTGGCTCAACACATTTTAGGTGACTTGTGAGGACATCCAGTGTGTTACAGATTACAGGCAAAGATTCAGCAGTCACAGACGGCACAGCACATGGGGCGGGGGCAGGTGGAGATGACACAGGTGGGGCGATAGCAATTGGTGTGGCAGGAGACCTGGCCACAGACTGGGCGGAGGCAGCAGCAGGGGCAGCAGCAGGGCCGGCAGCAGCTGGAACCACAGCAGCTGGAGCCACAGCAAGAGGGGCGGCAGCAGCTAGAAATGCAGCAGCTGGGACGGCAGCAGGGCCGGCAGCAGCAAGAGCCACAGCAAGAGGGGCGGCAGCAGCTAGAGATGCAGCAGCTGGGGCGGCAGCAGCAAGAGCCACAGCAGCTGGAGCCACAACAGGACATAATGTCAGAGGGTGGAGGTTCTGGGTGGGTTTCCAGGAGAGTGAGGTTCTTGAGTTTGGGGTCTCCTGGTGGCAAGGCCTCTTATATACTGTCTGAACAGGGTGAGCTGTCCACATGCTTCCTTGTTTTTATTTACCTAATGTTTGAGTAATTATCATATTACACATAATGTTTATCTTCTTAATGCTTTAAACTTATTGGAAACAACATTTTCCTTTCCAGATATGCTAAATTCTGTCTGATTTGCTTTTCCTCTGAGTCAGATCTGTGGGCATGTTCTAGACCACACTCTCTTCCTCCATTTAGCATTTGGGGTGACATTCCTTACTCTCCCTCAGTATCCCCTTAGGATGGGATCTGGACAGACATTTTCCTGGGTGTGCATTTCTTCCAGTGACTCATGTGGAGAAAATTCCATCAGCATAGTGTGGCATCGGGCATGGGACAAGAGAAAAATGACCCCTGTGGGTCATTTGTGAGCAATGAGGAAGGGGACCTTTGTATGCGTGTGATGTTGGTGGCTTCTATGTCACTTGAATGGGTTTACTTAGATGTTTCAAACTTTGGATCATGTTCTGTGTAAACCATGGTGGACAATTTATCTACATGGCTCTGGTTACTACAACATCCCACAGTTTATTACATTGTTACTTTGCTGGCAGATATGTTTGCAGCATCTCTCTCCAGCTGGTCTCTTTATTAAAGTTTAATTTACATGTATATTAGGCAGAGTAGGAGATGAACAAACATAACTAGTAATAAAATAGAACAGTTATAAGACTCTACTGTAATAAAAGTTATGTGAAATGTGGTCTCTCTACAAATTTTTCCTTCAACAAAATTTGTGGATAGAAAATCCATTTAAAAAAAAAAATTTACGGTATATACACTGAGTGGCCAGATTATTATGATCTTTGAATGCATAATAATCTGGCCACTCAGTGTACTTCTCTTGAGTACATCATTTATTTGATATCAAAGATACTATAAATCGTGCACCTGATCAGTCTTCCCCTTTGCACTGGCTGATAGAAAGCTCAGGGCAAATAGGTAAGTCTAGAATATTTTTGGTATCCATTTGAGATACAAATACACTGAGTGGCCAGATTATTATGAGTTCAGAGATCATAATAATCTGGCTACTCAGTGTATATTTTTATGGATTTCAGAGAGGAATGGGGTGGGGGAGAGAGAGAATTATTGATAAGCTTTCTCTGGTATGCCCCCTATTGGGGATTGAGCTCACAACCTGGGCTTGTGCCCTAGATAGGAAGGTGCCCTTGACCAGAATTGAACCTGGGACCCTTCAGTCAGCAGGCCAGTGCTCTATCCATTGAGCAAACTAGCTAGGGCAGAAGATCCATTCTTACTGTAGAAATTAGCAGCCTCAGCATATGCTTTAAAAAATATTTTCTTATTAAGAACTTTCTCTTAAAAGGAGCACTTTAGGGCTTTTCTTTGGCATGTTTGAATTACCAGAATCACTGTTCTTACACTTGGGGCACAGGTCAAGATGACCAGAGCAGTAAATAAGGAACACAAGCACTGCAACACCAAGAGAGTTGATCTAATTATTGAGACAGCTACAAAATGGGTAGCATATACAGTATGGATTCATTGGACAGAGGGAAGATTCACAACCTGGGTGGGATGGAACAGGACAGCACAAGATTTCACCTGCTACCCAGAATGGCATGTAACTTAAAACTATGAGTTATTTTTTGAATTTTCCATTTGCTATTTTCAGACCATGGGCAACTTTGGGTTATTAAAACTACTGAAAACAAAACCTCAGATACAAGTTGGGGAGACTACTATATACTGAAAAGTGTATAAGACATACATGTGTAATATCTATACTAATATTAGGGTAATATGCAAATTAGACTGAACATCTTCCAGAAGACCTTTCAGACCAAGTACAGTGGCGGGGCTGAGGCAGAGGCAGTTAGAGGCAATCAGGCAGGCAGGGGAGAGCAGTTAGGGGATCAGGCTGGCAAGCAGGTGAGCAGTTAGGAGCCAGCAGTTCTGAGGGGTCCAGGATTGGAGAGGGTGCAGGCTGGGCTGAGGGACCCCCCTCCCATTCATGAATTTCATGCACCGGGCCTCTAGTAATAAATAATTATGAAGCAAGCATCTATATAACCCAACACCCAAGTCAAGAAATAGGACATTGCTGTCCAAGGCCCTGAATGTGTCTTCTCTTTACCACATCACTCTCCTTCCCCCCTGATTCTTACTGTTCTGATTCTTAAAGTAATCCTTTCACTGATGTGCTTTACAGTTTTACCACCTAGGTATGCATCCTAATAACTATAGTTTAGTTTTACATGTTTTTGAATTTTATGTAAGTGGAATCTTCATCTATGTATTGTGTGTTTTTATTCTCTCACTCAATATTATGTAAGAGTTGTGGTAGGCAGCCCCTTAGGTGACCCAGTGATTTCTACCTCTTGGTGTTCATGGTCTTACATATTTCCATCCTTGTGAGAAAATTGCTTCTAATCAACATCAAGTGACTTAGTGACAAAAGATGGTGACTAGCCAGATTTCTCTTCCTTACTGGCTCTGAAGGAAGTAAGCGGCCGTGTAGGAGAGAAGTATGTGGCAAAGCACGGAGAGCAGTCTCTGCTGACAACCAGAGGGAACTGAGGCTCTGACTCTACTGGGTCTCAAGGAACTGAATCCTGTCACAACCACATAAGTGAACTTGAACTGGATTCCTGCTCAGTCAAGACTTTATTTTAATATATGTTATTGATTTTTTAAAGAGAGGAAGAGGCATAGAGAGTTAGAAACATCGATGAGCGAGAAACACGAATCAGTTGCCTCTTGCACACCCCCTACTAGGGATGTGCCCACAACTAAGATACGTGCCCTTGACCGGAATCGAACCTGGGACCTTTTAGTCCATAGGCCGATGCTCTATCCACTGAGCCAAACTGGTTTTGGCTCAGTCAAGACTTTAGATGGGACCCCAGTGCCACCTATCACCTCGATTGCAGAGTTGTGAAAGTATTATAGATGAAGTGGAGAGGTGAGCTGAGCTGCATCTGGATGCTTGACCCAAAATATAAATGATTTAATGAAAAGATGATTCCTATAGACAAATAGGGTGCAATCCCACCGAGAACCTCTGGAAACTGGAACAGCATGCCCCCACTAGAAAAAAAGAAGTCATAGCATTGACCAAAAACTCCCGTCCACTGGTTGAACAATGTTCCCAGAGACATTAACTCCGACTTTTGGCCTGCCCAGAACTGGCTCTTTCATACTCAGAAAGTTCTCTACTGAGGAAGTTCCAGCTGGTTGCTATAGGAAACCATCTTCCTATAATAGAGTGAGGATGATGTGGGACTAAAGTTAGAAATTCTAAAATCACCTGCTGTAGACTGCTTTCTGCGGAGAGCAACAGAAGAGTGGACAGATAAGAATGCTGATTCAAAAAGGAAAAATGAGACATAATACTCTTGTATTTGTATGCTTGGGAAATTAAGATTTATTTAAGATTTGGGGACATCTTCATATGAGAAAATGTGGTAAGGAAGAAATATATCAATGGGGATGACATAGACATTGAAGAATTACAGAGAAAATTGAAGCTTTCTATTCTTTTGGGAGAGAGTAATATGTGGGGGCAGAGGGGGGGCCATTATATTTGGAGGCCACAATCAGTTAAAGAATCAGTTGAAATTGAGTTTTGTCAATTGGACTCTCATGACTCAGCTCAATTTGGACTACATTGAGTAGACTGGTTCATGAAAAACAGGTCGGCCCAGGTTACTAGGATCACTAGCAGGAACCGCTAGAGCAGGTGGGACGGCAGCAGGTAGTCTGGCAGCAGATGGGGCGGCAGCAGGTGGTCTTGCAGCAGGTGGTCTGGCAGCAGGTGGGGCGGCAGCAGCTGGAGCCACAGCAGGTGGGGCGGCAGCAGCTAGTGATGCAGCAGGTAGGCCTGCAGCAGCTGGAACCACAGCAGTTAGAGCCACAGCAGGAGCCACAGCAGGGGCGGCAGCAGCTGGAGCCACAGCAGGAGGGGCGGCAGCAGCTAGTGATGCAGCAGGTAGGCCTGCAGCAGCTGGAGCCACAGCAGCTGGAGCCACAGCAGGAGCCACAGCAGGGGCGGCAGCAGCTAGACACACAGCAGGGGCGGCAGCAGCTGGAGCCACAGCAAGTGGGGCGGCAGCAGCTAGTGGTACAGCAGGTAGGCCTGCAGCAGCTGGAGCCACAGCAGCTGGAGCCACAGCAGGTGGGGCGGCAGCAGGTGGTCTGGCAGCAGGTGGGGCGGCAGCAGGTGGTCTGGCAGCAGCTGGGGCGGCAGCAGGTCTCCTGGCAGCAGCCTTGGCCACAGCCCTGGTCAGAGCAGACGGAGCCACAGGAGTTGACCATGGTGTCAGAGGGTGGAGGTTCGGAGTGAATTTTCAGGAAGGTGAGTTGGAAGGTTTGGAAGTCCACTTGCCCCAGGTCCCCTTTTATACCCTGCTAAGGGCGCTGTCATCAGGAGCTGTGCTCTTCCTTGTCCTTGTTTGTCCTAATTAACAGGTGATTATGAAATTAGCCAGGTTTGTTTTCCTGGCTCCGCTTTTTAAGATGGATGGAAAACGTTGCTTCCTTTTCCTGGTGGGTTAGCATTCCTCACTTCAGCTCTTCCTGGATCATCTCTTATGTGTCTTTCTTGCTTCATCTTCCTTAAAGAAAGCTGTCACGTGATTTATGCATATAGACCATGTATGTGTGTCTCATGTTGCACAGCCCAACATGTCTCCCTTTGGGTGATAATAAGCCACATTCCTTTTGGTGACTTGGGTGGTACTCTGTAGTTTAGTGTGATGTCTCATTCGTTGTGGGTCAGGTGGGCAGAGAAGTGTTGAATGTGAATCAGGGCATTGCTGCCATGAGAATAAGACTCTTAGGGTTTTTCCTTTCCCTCCTTTGAATTATGGCCTATTTTCTAGACTTTTTGATGGGAAATAAATAACTGGTATATGAGGAAACACTAA